AGGATTAGACATAAACATTGCAAGAATAATTGATTTTCAATATTTCTTATCTCAAAACTTACGCGTTTCCGCATGTTGAAACTGTGTGTGTGTGCTTATAATAGTATAACTTTTCTGTAAAAATACGTATCAACACCAAACTCGACTGACGTCAATGGAAAGCTAAGCCATTACTTTTAATACTAGTATCGGATCTGGTGTTTTCTGATTTAATGAAGCATAGTAAAGTAATACCTTTATTTAAATCTGGTAGTACATTAGACCCCGCCAATTTTAGACCTATTTCTGTACTACAAAAACTTAGTAAGATTTTTTTTTAAATATTCTTGATCAAATGTTAATTTTTTTTAATATACATAATTTACTTTATAAAAATCACAACAACTGATGCCGGTGTTGAGCTGATTAAGTTTATATTTAATGCATGGGAGAATTCACAGGATGCTTTGGGTATATTCTGTGACCTATCCAAGGCCTTTGATTGTGTTCACCATGAAACATTAATCAGGAAACTTCAACACTAAGGTGTAAAAAGAATTGCTGTTAAATTAATTATGTCATATTTAAGTAACAGAACGCAAAAAGTTGTCATTAACAGAACGAGCTCTTCCCGGTCGATGGTACAAATTGCCGTGCCTCAAGGTTTAATTCTCGGCCCGTTTCTGTTTCTTGTATACATAAATTACTTACCTTACATAGTAGGAGATAACCATGATATAGTATTATTTGCAGATGACACTTCTTTAATTTTCAAATTAAGACTACAATTACAAAAATATGACGAAGTAAATAATGCTATAACTAAATTAGTAAATAGGTCACTGTTAATAATTTGCATTTAAATGGCACTAAAACGTAATGTATGAAATTCATGACTCCAAATGTCAAACAATTAAATACTAATGTAATTTTAAATGGGAAGGAACTGAATCTTGTCAATACCACAATTTTTCTTGAAATCACACTAGACGGGAAGCTTCAATGGAGCCCCCATATATCAAAACTAGCAAGCAGACTTAGTTCTGCAGCATATGCATTAAAAAAGATTAGAAATCTTTCAAGTGTCGAAACAGCTAGACTAGTTTACTTTAGCCATTTCCCTAGCACAATGTCGTATGGTATTTTGCTATGGGGACACGCAGCTGACACTGAAATTATATTTGTTTTACAGAAGACGGCTAAAGATTCGCTGCGACAAAATTTAAGGAAATTAATATATTAACTTTGGCCTCTCAATACATTTATGAAAATGTAATGTACGTACACAAAAAATAAAAATAGTTTTGCAAAAATAAGTGATATTCATTCTGTAAATACTAGGAACAGGAATACGCGTTTTCCACAAAATTCCAGACAATGCACAAAATTTAACCTGCTCAAAGTTCAAAAACTTTATTAAAATAAGTTTGTATAAAAAGGGTTATTATAATATTAAGGAATTTATCGATGATAACAACCCCTGGGAATGAGGTTCTCGCTACCAAGCTATTTCTAATTTGTTGTGTTGTTAATTATGTAACATACATGATACAATCATGTATGTTACATAATTTAAAATTTAAAATAAAAGCTGTTATTTTAAAAAATAGTCCCACTGGGGTCTTGCTGGTTCTTCCTAGGATAGAGGTTTTCTTACGAACCAGTGGTAATTAAACAAAAGAATGACTTTCAATAAGTATTATTTATAATCTATATTGAAAACAAAGTTTCTGTTTCTATTTCTGTTTATTTTTCCGTGATTTTATTGTCTTTACTGTTGTGAAGCTTAAAAAATAATTGAATAATTATAGGAAAAGTTTGTAAATAAACTACCAAATGATTTTTAGCGCTATCTTTAAAATTTGCCCCCTTGCTACCGAAGCTTGCACGCTTCTCGACGTACACTTTTTCATACACAGAGATTGTCCTCCTTACCTTCACTACAATAATAATACACAACTTTACCATCCACAAGCCGTGACTGTAACAAAAAATATCGATGAAAAGGTGGATATTATAATAAAGATAGAACTTTATTTATGACTACTATAATTACCTATCATTTAACAAATAAACTAAATGTTTATATAATTTTAAAAACATAGATAAGACTATCACTGGTTTTAAAATGGATTAATTTTGTACATATATAACGAATACATTTTTGTGGGTTCACTTTTTCCTTAAGAAAGCAATTCTTGTATCAATATAGACAGTAAAGCCGCGTCTCCACCAAAGTTGTGTTATTCCTTCGGTGGAGACGCTTGTTGACAGAAACATTTGTTGGCAACACGTGTTGGCAACTGTTGTGTTGGCGACAAAACTTTGGTGGAGACGCGGTTTTAAAGCATATTACCTATTCTGTGGTTAAAGCAAAACAATTTAAAGAGGGCGTCCACGACTTTTTTCTGCCACCAGGGCGGCGCTACTAGAAAGTGAGGTATAATATTTGACAGATTTCATAGCGGGGAAGTTAATTTGTTCGCAAAATGTAAAAGTTATTGTTTCTTTTTGTACAATTAGCTATATTTATATTAATAACATTAAAAATAAATAAACCAAACCACAGATAATCATAAAAGTAGAAAAATTAAAAAAAAGTTAAAAATGTGCAATAAATGAGAGAGCAAACCACTGACGCATTGTTTTGTTTGTTAATATAATACTCAGAAACTGATAAATTTTTATTAAAAAACAACTTGTCAATTAAACTACATTATGTAACAAAAAACTTAACCCCAGTGTCAACTAGCGACATCTGGTGAGCAGAAAATTATTAGCCCTATGATTTCTTATATTTACGCGAACATTACACATTGAATAAAACTACTTTTACGGATTCTATCGCGTTTAATTATCTTGAACAAGAGTTTTATTCAATTCTCATTGAGAAGTAGGTTTTAAATAAAAGTTTATGAGTTTCTAGATCATTATATCAGTACTCAGTGGTTTGCTATTTCATTTTTTGCAAATTTATATCTCTTTTTATTTTTTTTACTTTTATGAATATTTGTTGCTTGGTTTATTTATTTTTAATTTTATATAAAATGTAACTAATAGTACAGAATGAAGCATTAACCTTTACTTTTTTCGAACAAATTAATTTCCCTGATATAAAATCTCTCAAATATTACCTCATACCTCAAAGTGGCGCCGCCCTGGTGGTTAAAGTTGATTCAGCTTAGCATGTTTGGAATATTAAAATGCTTAATGTCAAAAACTTAAACTAACACTATCTTACCGAGACGCAGTTGTCCTCTCTGGCTTGTACATCGTATTTATCATACCAGGTTAGAAATTGGAACTCCCCTCTCTTAGCTCTTATAATCCGGAGTAGGGTGCCCATTACATGCATGCTAATTACAGACGCAATCTGTCGGTAAAGCTATGTGTGGCTTTTTGCATCCTACCCATGGAGGCAAATTTGCTTGCTAGATGATCTCAACACCATTGCCGAGTCTGTCACCAACGTGGTGCTTCAGGGGATGGAATGAAAGAATGGAACTCTTCATCCCGTCATCTATACTAACTATCGATGACAGATCCGCTGCATTGGCGTCCCGGGAAGTAAACACTAACGCATCGAAAAAGAAGTATAACTCTGCCTCCAGGTCATCAAAAGAATTATTGCTAGGGTAAAGTCAGAGCACATTGGGAGAATTGGCACGAAAGTAATTTGCACTCCTTCGGGAACTCGTGCAAATCTCGCCAAGGCTACTGAAGGGAATTTCTGTAAGCCATCATTACCATCTTTGCATAGAGAGCATGCCTTACTGGCCTACTTAAAAAGTCGATTTTCTAGGATATTTTTATGCGTCCAATTCGACTTTAGACTAAAAAGGGGAAACACGCCAATTATCCCGCAGTGTGAATGCTTTATGCAGGATTTTCTGTTCACACAGTGCTTAGTGCGTAAAGCACTACTCTCCCTGAACGGAATTGAATTTGCTGGATGGAATCACCCCAAATGTGCTGAAAACGCGTGCTCCAGAATTGGCATCGATTCTTACACGGCCTTTCCGGTGCTCCTACTCTTTAGGCGCTCTTCATGCTCATGGAAGACAGTATTATCGTACCCAATTTCTAAAAAAACGTGACCACTCAGATTCGTCCACCTACATGCCTATCGCCATCACATCTTTGTTCTCCAAAATAATGAAATCCATTATTAACTATATAGCAGCTTATGAGGTTCTTTGAAGCGCATCTGCTGAATAGTGACCTACTTGTGTAACTCACCGATGGGTGGAGGCAGTCCAGACCATGGGGGAGGCCCTGGCTGTTAGTTTGGACATAGCGAAGGGCTTCAATCGGGTTCAGCTCAAACCGCTTCATTCGAAGCTATTATGGGCTTCCCAGTTATCTCGTAGATTGGAGCATTAGGGTCGTAGTCGACGGTGCATGCTCGGATTTCAAGCCTGTAATTGCTGCTGTTTCACAAGCTGTTTCTTATGCATATCAAGTAACAATTTTATACACCAGCCGTGCTAATATTTCTCGGAAACACGTCGGCGGGTGCCAAAACAAACTTGTGGCTGAATTGGAATCTTTGTTAAGCAAAGTCTCTGACTAAAGCACAAGGCTAAACTAGCATCAAAACCTTGGTGTGGTCAGTAGATCGAGACGATATTTTATGCCGGCCCACCACTTGCAGCTTATATAAAGATACAAAGCACAGGTTGGACCTTATATGAAATACTGTTCTCATCTCTAGGCCGGGGCACCTTAGTATCAGCTCCTTCCATTTGATCGAATTCAACGGAGAAGAGCCCGAATCATTGACAGCAAAGTTCTTTCCGATTAGCTTAATCCACTGGCCTTGCGAAGAGAAGTCGCATCTCTGTGCTATTTTAGAACTTCTATGACTATATTAGTATTTCATTGTTTATAAATTATATTCAAAGACTTCTATGATAGATGTCTTTGATTATAATATATAAAGATGAAAAATGGTCAGGAAGGATTAATAAAGTTTGGAATTAAAAACTTAATAACATACATCATTTTATAAAGGTTAGGGTTTAATTATTTACATTTCGGAATAGATTTCTTTTCCTATTAGGTTCACTCGGCTTCAGCTCGCATAGTGCTGCAAGTGATTCATCACAAGGAACTGTTCGCCATGTGCGATGTTTTGTTATAACCACACAATCGAATTTTTCTCCTCGCTTGGGATGGCCAGGTGCCCAGGCGCGATACGATGTGCACCCTAATGAGTCACCTGTAAAACGCAACAGAACTAATAACTAAATGACAGGGCAGGACTAGCTGGTAGAAATCATCTAACTTGAAAATTTCTTTTTCGTATTTATCCCGCTTGTTTTCATATCAATTAAAACAAAAATGTTAATATCTACTGAAACACAATAGAAAGGGCATGCTTTAGATTTTATGGTACGTGATACAGTAAATGTGACAATATCTATACAAAAAAGGGAGGCGCGTGTAGTTTAAAATGAAACGATCTCAACAAGTATTTATCTTTATATATAAAAATTACGTGTCACATTGTTTTTCCGCGATGAACTCCTAAAATAGGTTGAAAAACAGCATCCAATCGTGATAGGTAGAATGTGTGCTCATTATTCATTCTAAATGTGTCAAAAAAAAAAACACATCGCACCATTCGTGAGTAACGAAGCGTCAAGTAGCTACGAGTTCTACTGGATTGGATTTCTCTCTGCTAGCACTAGCATTCGTACGACCCAATGCAAAGCTAACACTCTGTACTCACCAATGTGTCGGTAATTTGTTCAAGAAATATATTTCAGTTGTCCCGTGTTGTTCTGGTAATTATAGGCCATGTTTATGTGCGACATATAATGAAAAAATGTGCTAACTGTGTCACTCTTCTAAAAACTTTCGTAAAACCGACTAATGGGATATTGGGTGATTGTTTGTGACTGCATAGACGAAGGGCTAGCCAACTATTACTTCTTTCACAATTTTCTAAAATACCCATATTTTTGGCTAAATGTGGTCCGTGTAATTTGCCACTCTTTGGGCTCCGCCTATTCCCTTGGGGATAAGATGCATGACTATTTGTATTTGTTTTTGTCACATTCTTAGAAAAGCTCTTTTGTAGCGGATTCAAAATGTTGCTGAGAAGAATAGCAAATGGCCATTAGTGGTCAGATGGCTTGTCATTGTAATTATTAATGCTACTTACCGTTTGAAGTAATGAAATTGCTGCTGTTACTTCGTTTGAGGCTTACGTACGCGGAATCTTCACCTTCATCAGCCAGCAATTGTGCCAGCGTGTCTGTTCTCTGCTCAGTGGAAATTTCGGCTAGTACACTGCTTTTGTTCTGACACAGCTTTTCTGCTTCTGTGTAATTCATTCGCTGCGCAACGAGGTAGAACATGCCCGTGGTGGGGACGCAAGTCGAGTTCACGGTAGCTGTGTTAATTGGAAAAATATTGAGGGTAGTAAACAAAAAGTCTTGTTGTAGGACTTTAAGCTCGCTTTTCACTATGGTATATAATATATATTATATCCCGAAATATAAATTATACCCCGCGATTGGCTTTCACACTGTGAGATATGTCTTTTAACTAGTGTGCGTTCGTCATTGGATTACCCCTGTACCCCGCACACCGTTCCGCACAGCCGCAGAACGGTGTGCGGGATACAGGTGGCAAAATATAATATGAAAATATCGCTCGGTCGAACAAAAAATATTTATAGTTTGAGATGTAATATATAATATTATAGCTCAGTGTAAACGGTTCCATTTAAAAGTATGGTAAGCGATATTAATTTATATCACGAGAAGTAATATATATTATATTATATCCCATAGTGAGAAGCGAGCTTTACTCAATACGATGGCTCACACCGCCACTACACTGCAAATATATTTGGTAGTGACGTAATTCAGAATATCTACGTATCTATTATATGTATGTGGTAGGACTTCTCTTCTGCTTGGGAGTTCGTCTGAGAAGGTACCGCCTTCTTACATATTACTGCCGATGAATAGCATTGCTGTGTTCCGATCTGAAGGATATAGATAACCAGTAATTATAATTACAGGCTGAAAGGCTTCCATCTTGACGGCTCCGTGGCGCAGGTACGGATGTTCCGATACCATCAAAGTATCGATACCTACTCATATCAATAATACTCAAATCATTTTTCGATACTACTCATACAAATACTCCTAATGTATCGATACTTACTGATATCGATATTTTTAGATTTTTTTTAAAATAAATTAAGGTAGCAAATGTTTCAAGCCCCACAATGATCTATTCTGCCCTGCCACTTTAGATAACATCGCATAGTTCCAACCAATGAACTAACGAACTATTATGAACCTAACCTAAGTACCTAACCTTATGAAATTAATTAGTGAAAAGTTGAAGATCCTACCTTTCGTTTGTCCCTTTATCTGTTTTTTTTTTCTGTAATTTACCTTTATACACAGTAATTCCATGAGTTTTGGAATGCTTGAATAAATTAGACGTATTGCCACAATATTTCACCGACTTAAACCATTGTTTACATTTTGCAGTTGTTTCGTTTGTTTTAGTAAAATATGTCCATATTAATGATTTTGATGGTGCCATGATAACATTGGAACAATAAACCGATGACTACAATAACTTAAATTACTCGTAGGTATGAATGGATGAATGAATATACTTTATTGTACACTACAAACTAATAAACAAATTACATAACAATAGACATGTTAAATGTACAATTTGGCGGCCTTATCGCTACATAGCGAGGTACCCTAATTGTAAACAATCACTTGATGAATGCTGAACACTGCTAGTGCTGACTGAACCAGTGACAATTTTAGTATAATGGCGGCTCTCTCTCTCTCGGTCTCGGCTCGGGTGAATCAGACGGGTTGGGCTCGCCTGATTCGATACCAAGTACTTTTGTTTCGATACCGAGTAAGTATCGCAAGATTGATTCGATGCTATTAGTACTTGGTATCGAATCAAAAGTATCGAGTACCTACTCGTATTTACTAGTATCGGAATGTCCCTAGGCGCAGGGGCTTAGCAAAGAGTTGTTGCGCTGGGGCCGCGGGTTCGAAGACCGCACGGAACAAGTATTTGTATGGTCTACAAATAATTGTTCCGGGTCTTGATGTTTGTCCTCGTGCAATTTATGTTTGTAAACTGCCTCCACGATACAGGAGAAAATCCTAGTGTGGGGGGGGGGGGGTAACGTTATTAAAAAGAAAAAAATAAAAAAAAATTGTCCCGTAGGTGACTACGTGTCTGTCGCCTTCTTTAAAGTTGGAAGGCCATGGACTACAGTAGCCATTTAACATCAGGTGGACTGTAAGTTTGCTTGCCACTTCAGGAAAAGAGATTGGTGTTTGTAATTTGTGATCGATAATTCTAATTCGCCGTCGGTGTGATTGTGAAATTCGGGTGGCAATCGTCGACGTAGGGAATCAATCTGAAACTGCGTTTTGTTTTCTTATTATTATCACCGTTATAGTTTTATAAAATTCCTTTGCTGAACATAGGCCTTCCCCATAGATTGCCTTATATTTTGCCTATTATTCGTCGTGATAAATGTAGATGTCTGTGGGCCACAGCATCCACATACCGTTAGGTGCAATGTTTTTGTCACCCTTATTCTATAAAAAAATGTTCATAGGTGTCGGTGATCACTTACCACCAGGTAAGCCGTACGCTTTGTCTTCTCTTCAAAAAAATTGCACTGTTTTGGATTAAAGTTAAAGAATTTACTTACGCATAGGATTTCCATATATGCTGTAGTAGTCGTATCTCACATCTTTTGTTAGAGATAAACCACTGTCAGTTTCAGCGCACTGCAAAACTTCACAAGTGTACTCCAAGGTTTTCCATCTTCTACCATTCGTGTTTCGAGGGCTGAAGTTTAGAGACAGAGCCCGCTTATCAAGACCAAATTGTTTGCAGCTGGACAACGTTGTGTAATTGGCTTTTGCGGCTACACTTAGCTGTGATCGTTGGCATTTTCTAATAAGGTGGTATTCGGGCGTGATTTGTGGTGAATCATTCAAACATTTTTTTGCTTGGACCATAATCAAGGAGGTTGTCACCAAAGTAAAAACAAACATTTGGTACAAATTAGCAAGAAGTTAACGTTAAAAATAACTCGCTTAGAATAATATTAAATATTGAAAATAAACGTAAACATTTTTATTCTTCCTGCAGCCAATTGTTACTGTTTTGAGGAATGTTTCATGATATATCACAACTCTCACAACCGATACACAGTTATATTAATTCTACAGTGTATACTGTGAAATACGTGCAACTATGAATATATACATTATTTGTGCGAGAATTATTGTACACGGAAACAACCTGTCGCGTTGGTCGTTATAATTTCTATGGGGTTTTATCCGCATAGTATTCAAAGGTCACGGTTTTTTTTTTGTATTTTGACATAATGATTTGAACTATTCTCTATTCAAAGCATATGTACTTTAAGTGAGCAATTTTTATATAATTTTATAATTATGTATGTTTAGGTATGTAATTAGTTTTGTGTGCGGAAAGGGTTCTAACTAAAAATTTTGTTCAGATATAATATTTTACTTTCCAAGTTTATCTGGAATGATTTCGTCTCCAATTTTTTTTCTATCGCCATCGCTTGTCTTGTCTCCCAGATATTGTATACCTACTTTATTTTTAACAAAAAATAGCTTGCCGTGTGCAAATTAATTTTTTAATCATCCCTGTCTGCCGACAAAGAAGGAAGACTATTTAAGTCTCGAAGTCTAGAGGCTACTCGTATTTAAGTAATCAATTTGTACCTTTTGTACTTTTGATTTTCTTCCTTAATATTTAAGTTTTCTATGGTGACAAGTGAACCATTCACCCTGTATCGACCTAAGAGTGTAGTTCTTGTGATAGTACCGTTGAAAGGAGAGGATAAGCAGATCACATTGTGGATGATAAATGGTAATATATTCATATCAGTTATGAGCAGTGTTAAATATCTGAACTGTAGCGATGGCGTGCAGTGCTTGATGTGCATACGTCTGGTACTGTGATCGGCCCGCAAAATGTTGCGATAACGACAAGTACTTTCTTCTATGCGAAAGCTTTGCTTTCCTTCGATCTTTCTTCTAAAGGCCGGCAACGCATCTGCAATTTCTCTGGCATTGTAGATGTTTTTTACGAGGTAGAGCCATGCCGCAACTATATTGTCGAGAATGGGTCGGCTCTACCGACGTAGGACCACGCTCTCACAGAATACCAGCGTAAAATAGCAGTTTAATCCTGCTGTGTTTCGTATGGTGAGTGTAGAGAACCGGAGACCCTTTTTACTGGAAACGAGGCATTCCATTTTAGTCCTCAGGGGTGACACCGCATCTGCATTTTGATTCTTAATTGAGGATAAATGTAGATATCTACTTACCATCAGGTGGAATGTGTGCTCGTTTGTCATCCTTAATCTATAAAAAAATGTTCATGGGCGGCGGTGAACACTTACAACCAGGTGATACGTACGCTCCTTTGCCTCCTCTTCCATAAAATAGCTACAAGATAAAGGCAACACAACAGTTATTTTGCTTTTCTTCTGATTAAAAAAAAACTTGTTACATAAAATATTTTTAATCTATATCATCTTCATCATTATATATAGGATATGAGTCTCAGATTGCATTTTAGGCCTTAGTTGACAACGCATCTCTAGCCTTTTTTCTCTTTGCTTGAAGTTTTGTTTAGCATGCATTGTGCATGGGTTGTATGTCTAATTATTACCAGGTGGACTCTCAGACATTGAGATAATATGTTATAGTAACATATTATCTCAATGCTCTCAGATAATTTTTATGACTTGTGGGAGGCAAAAGTCCTCGTCGTGCGTGATTCTAATATTATAAAAAACTAGCATATCGCCCCGGCTTCGCACGGGTGATTTTTGGATCTCGACAACAGCGCCACCTACCGGGTCCAATTGTGAATGTAAACCATTCTCGAATCAACTTAATCACACCCATAATTTCTCTCACGTCTCAAGTGGTTACCTATCCGACTTCGCCGGAACATGCATATTCTTTCTATTCTGTACTGTGTATTATTTCATCCTTCTGCTCCTCCCTATCTAAAGGAGAAGTTTAATTTTGTGGGGCTTCCGGGGGAACTTCTACGCTCTTCTAGAAAATGCATTTTAAGGGTACCAATTCACAAAACATCATTTTTTAATAAATCTTTTACTGTCTAGTCTAGTAAGTTCTGGAATGCCCTACCTTTGCATATACGTAAAGCACAATCTATTCTAATCTTTAAGCGATTACTTAAAATGCATTCCTTGTCTCAATCGTTCGGAGACCGTTAGGATAAACTATGTGATAATGTATTTATTGTATTTATCAGCTTTATATTATTGTTTGAAAAATTTTGTAATTTATAATTTGTATTTTTGTAATTTGTATTTTGGGTAGATATGTAAGTTTGTTTATTTACTCTTATATATGTATGTATATGTATATATTATATGCTTTAGTTTATCTTTTATTATGTATTAGTAATTGATATAATTACTTGTATTAGTTATTTATATGTTATTTTATTGCATTTATTGTCTATATATCCCATGTATTAATATTATATTTTGTATAATTATATTGCACCACCTACCTAGTATTCATTGTTTTTTCCTTTACACCCTTGGTTGCCTGGAAGAGATCGCTATGTAGCGATAAGGCCGCCAAATTGCACACTTAATCTGTCTTTTGTTATGTAATTTGTTTATTAGTTTGTGGTGTACAATAAAGTATATTCATTCATTCATTCGTTTAGGAGGAGTTCAGTCACATACACACGGACATAACAATTATATATATAAAGATAACTTACCTATAACGCAATACTGGTGAATAACTTTGCTACCTCTATGATAATATTTTATAAAACCAGCAGTTCACCGCGACTTCGCCCGCGTGGAATTTATAGAGATTGGATTTCATTGGTTTTAATTTTCTGCTCGGAACCCTAATTCTTTTTCTTAAATAAAAGTAGCCTAAGTTACTCCTTATAACACCAGTTATCGGCCAGTGAAAGTCCCGTCGAAATCGGTTCAGCCGTTTCGGAGATTAGCCTGAAAAGCAGATGGACAGACAGACAAAAATTTTAAAAATTGTTTTTTTTTGTTATAAGAGGCCATTCATTAGTTACTTAAGAATGATTTTGGCGATTTCTGAGCCCCCGTACCCCCATGTAAGATTTCTCGAATCTTCTTACGTAAAATTCTATCTCGTTTTTCAGAATAATAAAATTTTAGAAAAGTATCAGTTACACTAAAACTTACAGTTTGAAGTAAATGATGAATTTTATTTTTGAACAGATAACTTACTAAACAATAAATATTTATAAAATTAGATATAAATCGAAGCATTATAGAATTAAGAAAACCAATCGGCATCCAAAATGGAACAAAATTTCTAATATTAATCGACTTACAAAATATTACGTAAGAATGGGTTTTACTACCACAAGGTAGGGGCATATAGAGATTTTTTAACCCCTCGGGACCCTTACGTAATTTTATTTATTTATTTATTTGTCACACCAACAAGATATACACTACAAGCTTTCTAAGAGTAGACAATAAATAATTTAATGCTCAGTGATACCTCTTTTATAGGTGTAAACTACATGAATATTGAGCGTCATACTCACATTGCTTTTTGCTTTATTAAGATATTAATAATAATATTAATTATTAGATACTATATTAAGATTAAAATTATTTTATACAGTAATAAAAAAAAGAAACATTAAAAAGTAACACAATAAATATTTTAAAAATCGTTTAGCAGTTGAGACACTACTGTTTTAAAGCGACGTAAGGGGTCTGAGAAAATATCCAAGGTTTTCGACGTTTTTTCGAAGTACATGGACTATCTTTGAATATAATTTGTTAAATCCCGGTATTACCAATATCTTTGTTATATATCTCGTTGTAACTTCTCATTAATCTGTTTAGAGGAGCATAATGGCCTAAATGCGACCGTGCTAACTTTGTGACGAATGGAGTGTATTTCTTATACCTGGACGATCTTCTGGGAATAGCAAAATTAATATGAAATATAACGTCTGGAGCGTCGATGTAACCATTTATCATTTTGTAGAGGAATGAGATGTCCGACATCGCTCTGCGCTCAACGAGAGATTTCATTTCAAACGATCTTTATAGCTAGGCAATCGTTTTGCTAAATTACAACTGTAAGTCAAGTGCCAGAGGAATCTTTTCTGTACACCTTCTATACGCTTTTTGTATACGTCATAGTGCGGGTTCCACACCACGCTGCAGTATTCTAAGCTACTACGCACAAGTGACGTATAGATTGCGATTTTTGTGCTCGGATTTTTAAACTCCCTACAGGTACGTAAGACAAACCCCAAGGTCTTGAAGGCTTTTTTAGTAATGCTATCTATATGTAAATTAAATCGCATTTTGGTATCTAGAATTACACCCAAATCTCTAATATGATCAACCTCTTTTAATGGTACATCGTCAATACAATAATATCTAGTCACTGAGACTTTTTTCTAGTGAAGCGTATCACGTGGCATTTGTCAATATTCAAGCTCATACCATTAGATTTGCACCATAGTACTAGATTGTCCAAGTCATTTAGAAGCAACAATACATCCTCTAATGAATTTACTGATTTAAAAAACTTCAAATCGTCGGCGAACATGTAAAACTTAGAATTTTGGAAGCACTTACACTTTACCGATATCATTAATAAAAACGTTGAACAGCATGGGAGCCAGATGGGATCCTTGAGGAACACCGGAAAAGGCAGTAAAAAAAGCTAGATTTGAAACCCCCTGCTACCACCACAGACAGTCTATTCGTTAGGTAAGATCTGAACCAGCGCAAGAGATTACCGCCTATACCGACACATGATAATTTGTGTAATAACATATCGTGACTGACTTTATCAAAAGCCTTGCTAAAATCAGTGTATATGACATCGACAGACTGCGCATGGTCAACACCTCCGGCCAGGCATTCAATAAAAGATATCAGATTAGTCGTGGTAGAGCGGGCTTTCATAAAACCGTGCTGTTCCGGTGCAGTTAAGTGTCTTAGATGCCAAGACATTATCGGGCACAGTAGTTTTTCAAAGACTTTAGCAAACACCGTAATAATTGATATTGGCCTATAGTTTTTCACCGAGTTTATATCGCCCCCTTTGTGTAACGGTATAATAAGAGAAGTTTTCCAAGCGCTGGGAAAGGTTCCAGAACAAAGAAATTTATTAATTATCAAGGACAGAGGCAAAGTTCTAGCTTTGTGCTCTAGCACTAGCACATCTTACAGCAAAGATAGATGGTATTCCATCTGAGCCAGCGCCTTTAGTGGAGTCAAGTAATTAATGAATGGCCGCTAAAGCTGTTATTTTGACACTACAAACAGACACTTCAATTTTATTTATTTGTATAGATAAACTTTAGTGTGTCCTGACTCCTGACGAATTTATTTTTAACGAAGTATTGTCTATACATTTTCTTAAGTTCACAAATACTGTCCGTTACAACGCCCGATGAAAAAACGTCAATATTTCATTGTCAATAAATCTAGATTTATACTTATTTCAAACATTTTTCAAGTGTGTTTAGAAATGTCATTTTAATTCGTAGACAATTTGTAATAAATATTTACATACATACAAATCGTGAAGAGTTTTTAATTTACAGCCGACATGGGTTGTATCTATTCTAGAAAAATGATCGAGGTGGGTGGCAAACCGTTAGTGGAATTTAAAATTTTAGAAAGTAGATAATCAATGTATGAATGAAGACAGTACAGCGTATTTCAAATAACACCGGACTGACAGTAGCAGTTTTATAAATTAATATTCTTTCTAAGAGAAGTTTTTCACAAACAAACTCTTTTCAGTTAATTAAAAATATGTTTGATTTTTTTATTAAGAGCATTGTGCGGACATCGGACAGATATACAGGACTAACCAGACCGGTATCTCTGTGAGAATTATTATCTATACACATAAAATATTATATCTATTAAATATTATATTGTAAATTTGTTTTAAAAGGTCCCTTTTGGTTTCTAACTGGTTATTCCCAGTACAGAGGTTTTCTACGAACCAGTGGTAAAGTTTAAATGACTTCAAATAAGTATTTTTGTAATCTATATTCAATAAAAATTATTCTACTGGATTCATGAAATATAACCTATGAAAACAAACTATTAAACGCATTTAGATCGCTAGACAACCTCTAAGTAAAGGGTCGATACCCTCAGATGTGCTAGATAGAGTCACTATGCAGCATGAAATGGTTGGTTAGTATGTGGAAGGTCTATGCTCGCCCACACTAACAGCGCGAAATAGCAATATGCTATTATTTTGTATGAGTGACGTAACACAGAGACACTTAAGTCACAACAAGGTACACTATCTCAAAAACGTTAATTTGTTTTCGAGTTATATCGCACATATTTATATATTTTAATCGCTGTAACTTATATTTCCTGCTAAAGCTTCCTATGTATGGGTGAACATTTTTACCGCTGTAAAGTTTTCCTTCAAACAGACTAACCTTCTTATTGGAGACTGAGACACTTTTTGCTGGTGATGAGGCATTCCATCTTAGTCCTCAGGTGTGACAACGTATTTACAATTAGATTTATCAAGGACACTTACCGTCAGGTAGATTGTATGCCCGTATATCACCTTTATTTAAAAAATCTGACTGGTTGTGTTTATTCGTAACAATGCTTTTGTTCAGATGTGCGTTGTAATAATGCTGATAGATTAATAATTAAAATGTCGGATGTAATATCAAGTACACACAGCGTCGACAGTCCGGACGTTGAATGATGTAGGTGGCTGACTTTGACTTCTATGAGAATGCCCTTGTTCTAGTTTTAATCAATAGGCAGCAACTGTAACAATGTTTATGACGTAGAACTTTATCAAACACACAATATATTACAGTCAAAAATTGCATAGAATCTTAAAAAAATTTTTATAGAATAAAGGTGACAAATAAGCACACCATTCACTTGATGGTAAGCGGATGCTGTGGCTTATGGAATAAGATGTGATTAAGAATAAAAATGCAGAAGCATTGTCACCCCTGAGGACTAAGATGGAATGCCCCGTTTTCAGTAAAAAGTTTCTCTGGTTCTCTACTCTCACTATACGCAACGCAGCAGTATAAGCAACTATTCTATGCTTGTATAGTGTTCTGTTATGCCCCGATCGAGAAGACCTATTCGTGCTACTACTATAATATAGCTGCAGCATATCTCTACCATGAATAAAATCTATTTTAACATCGGTTTTAACATTATTTCCTTGAAATGTAAGGTAATTTCAAGTTTTTATTTGATTTGTACTCGTTTATTGCTCCAGGAAGATGCAGTTTACGATATGGCGCCGATCCGCCACCTGCCGGTGATTTTTGTCAATGGCGTACCAGGCGCTGGCAATCAAACGGTGGCTCAGACTATATCGAGTATCACGGGCTACGTGATGATCAGGCCTGGGGAGCTGGTGAGGGCGGAGGCAGAAAAGGACACAGCAAGGGGGCGACTTATTGCGGATAAGCTGCAAGCTCAGGAAGATATCCAAGAGGTATATACGTTAATCGTTCTTAATGGACGATTTCGAATCCAATATAAAAGAAATTAAAACGTCGTTATACAGTATAATAACATTTTGATTTGCTTTTACTGTTGTGGATTTAGAGAAAGATATGCTACAAACACCTTGATATTTCACCTTATTGTAAGTGGCTATCTACTGCAGCCCGTGTAACTTTACTTTGCTTTATTTTAAAATGCAGAAAAGGAGTCCTGTCACTAGATATTTTTTACTTAGTTCTTCATTTCGATCCCACCATACCAGTGTTGTTGAAGTGCTGATGAAGGATAATCACACTGTCGTAGCGTAACAAAAGCCTATTTTTTCCTCTTGCCTTGAAGACGCCCAGATTTTATTCTGACGGAAAGACAGACGCCGGAAAATTATTGAACTCTTTTGCAGTACGCACTAAAAAAGACAAAGCAAACCGTAAAGTAGTTTAATGCTGCTGTGTTTCGTATAGTGAGTGTTGAGAACTGGAGACCTTTTTTCTGGAAAGAGACATTCCATCCTAGTCCTCAGGGGTAACCACGCATCTGCATTTTGATTCTTAATCGAGGATAGACGTTGACCATAGACATCTGTCTATGGTCAACAGAATCCACTTACCATCAGGTAGCCTGTGTGTTCGTTTCTCATATATGAAATATCTACAACAAATTGGTGAAGACAGGCCGACCACGTGGTTGTCCGATGGTAGAAAGCGGAGGGAAGGAGTTAAAGCATGTAACTTCTGCGCACTCCGTCAGAAATGCGTTCTATAGAATACCGAGAGGCTGGCTATCTGCGATTGTGCTCGAGACCGACAAGATTGATTTCAACTAAATCAAGGTTACTTAAGCCTCTGAGGTGCGTGCGTACAGAAGCCTCTCAGATAACCCTTTCAGAAGTCAGAGTAGGCTCAGCTCAGCAGTAGGATATATCAAGGCTGTAACTATACCAGGACTGGACTTCGATATTTTGGTTTTATGTGTTAGTCTCGTCTCATCTGTCCTAGTCTATAATTCATACCCACCTCTCTTATAATAATAACGTCAATAACGTCAACATAGAGATTATTGTATTTTTTGAATTAGATTTAGAGTCAGATGTTCAACATGTGCGTCTATAATGATTACAGCAATTAATAGTGGATCTCATAAAAGAAGCGATGCTGTCACAGCAAGACGCTAAGGGCTACATACTGGTAGGATTCCCGAAGAACCCTCGCATGTCGAATATATTTAACAGCCAAGTTAAATGGCCCGAGAAGATAGTCGCGTTGGAGGTTGATAATGAGGTAAATTTATAACTACATTAGATTTTTTTTTCACAATAAACCAGACGAGTCAAAAGTCTACTTTTGTAGATGATAGTAATGTGATGAATGATGTTAAGTAGTTCATAAACCTGCAAATAATTTCTAACAGAGATGGTTAGGGACGTTCCTAATTCTTTTGTTTACTTTTTTTTCATGCTTGTAAAAATTTTACTTTTTTTAACTAGGATAAAGTGACAAACGAATTGCAGAATACAGTTCACCTGATTATAAGTGACTTCTGCATTCCATGGACAACCGCAGCCAGTTTCAACAAGAAAGCTACAGATGCATTGCCACATCTGAGGACTAACATGGAATGCCTCACAGCCTGTAGTTATAGTGGCCCATTACATTACATCCTCTACATTGAAAAAATATCTAAGATACCTCGACTTCAAAGCACAATACATTTCAGCCAATTATTCTCAAAGATGTAAGAGATATCGATTCTTGTCATTGAATTATAGCCCGAGATTTAGACAGCGACCGATGCTATATAAACCTTTTGCATTAACATTTTTTTTATAGGATAAGGGTGACAAACGAACACACAGTCCACCTGATGGTAAATGGATGCTGCAGCCCATAGACACCTACACCTATCCTCGATTACGAATCAAAATTCAGATACGTTGTTACCCGTGAGGAATAAGAAGGAATGCCTCGTTTCCAATAAAAAGGGTCTCCGGCTCTCTACACTCACCATACGAAGCACAGCAGCGTTAAGCTGCTATTTTACGCTGGTGTTCTGTGAGAGTATGGTACTTCCCGGATCGAGCCGACCCATTCGTGCTACAACTATGCTACTAGTATAGCTGCAGCATGGCTCTACCACATATAAAAAATTGTAGGAGAAATTCTTTATTTTTGAGTAGCGCAATGGAATTTAATAAGCTTTCATCTGAATTAGATATTAACCTATTCTTTACTAGTCCGAAATATGTAAGAAAACTGATAAATAGATAGTTTTTCATTCACAGCCGTGACTAGCATGACTCAAACTGCAATCTACTTTGTCTCACGGAAAGTTAAATTTTGCGATATATAGTTATTGCTTTTGTGGGTAGTTTGAGAAATCCCTGGAGAACTTAAAATTTGAATAAAGTCGGATGAAAGTAATATGTGGAGCCTTGTAATTAGCAATTCTTATTACCATTTTGTAACTTTACGAAGATATTAGTCTGTAAGCCTGCCTAAAATAAATAAATATATAGACATAAAATGATCCATATAGGCGGCAGTAAACAGCGTCAAAGGGCCTCATTTCTGGTACTGCGAGCGTCAATCCGCTTGCCAGGCGTGACGATTTATGCAAGTCCTTTTTACTACGTTTTCTACCGACTTCAAAATGGAGACGGTACTCAATTCGACTGTATGTTTTTTTATGTTTGTTACCACATAACTTTTTACTGGGTGAACCGATTTTGATGATTCTGATGAAGCTGGTGTTTCACATGTGGTCTCATATAAATTTTATCAAAGTCTGACCAATAGTTTTTATTTGTATTGAAGTCGGTTGTGCAAAATTTTTAATTTTAAATTTAAAATTAAGTCACTTTCTTGTTTGTCTACTGTCTGTCTGTCGTTCCGGGTGAAATCTTACAACTTAAATTTTGAGCACTTTCCGGTGAACTAGGGGCTTGGAATTTTGAACATAATTCAGAAAAGGATGACAATGTAGGAATTGTCAAATTTTTTTTAGTGCGAAATTTAAAAAAAAGTCACTTGTTACAATTGCCTCTGTACAACAACGGACTGAAGAAAAAGAAGTTGTATAATAATGATGTGGTATCTATGTCATTGGTTAAAACCCATACAAAAATCTGATTCCTTCTCTTAGTTGGCTCACTATGCTTATAAACATGAAAAATCTCTTTCTCTCTCTTAGTTGCATTACTATTCTAAAAATGATTAAATATCTGTTTTTCCCTCTCAGTGGACTCACTATGCTAAAACACTAAAAAAAGAACTGTTTTTCTCTTTTCGTTGCCTTACTATGCTAGAAAACATAAAATCTCTTTTTCTCTATCACTTTAAGTCAAAGTGACTGTGAAACCACGAGAATTCTTAAAAATAAGTAGCGTTTCGGTATTTAGTCGCAAGTTGCCTCACTATGCTAAAAAGTGATGTTGGTTAGTGAATTGTTTTTACGATACCCTCTCACATGTGCGCATCCTAAAATAATATTCCATTAATTTTGATCCTCCTTTACACAATACTGTAGGTAGCAGCAACGAGGCTACAGAACAAACTGTCTGAGTTGGGGAGACCTGAGTCGGAGATCAACGCGGCACGAGAAATCGTCAGAGAAGCGGCGCACAAAGTCAAGAATGTTCACAAGCGTTTCGGTGGACATGTCATTACGGTGAGATGGTCGCAGCGTCCATTTATTGAACCTCTCGTTTCGTTTTGTAGAAAGGATTTGCCCCAATCACCACGCTATGACAGGCGCATTGATTTCACAGTACCAGATGTCTCACACCTGTGATGCTGTGCCCGTCGCCGGTCTTGGTCATGTGTCAAGCATAAAAGTGACTGTACAGCCATCTTTCAGAAGCCGCTTCTTACGTCACTCTCAAGATGAAAAGAGGCGATAGATTCTCTTAAAAGTGGTGGTACGTGGTAGGTGGTAAAGTAAAAACTTACTTTCAATAAGAACACTGCTGGCCGTATGAGGAAGCTCAAGGTCGCTGAGCGAGCTATGGAGAGGTCTATGCTCGGGATTTCTCTACGTGATAAACTTAGAAATGAGGATATCCGCAGTAGGACCAGAGTAACCGACATAGGCCAACCATTGAGTTATATGTACTACGTACTAGAGAAGCCATTTCGAACATTGACTATGTTCAACTGAACTGTAGTGCAATCCATACAAACTAAATATTGCGTAAATTGAAGATTTGTGAATTCCATAAAATAATTATTATTAAATTTTATTCAGTAATATGTTTGTTTAGATTAAATTAAGATATTTTATATTAAATTCTTATATTTATTTTATATTAATATCTTATTTTATATTAAATTAAAGTCGTCGAGCATGCGCGACAACAACTCCCGCGCATGCGCGAAGACAGAGTAGGACACAATTTTTGTTTGGAATGGCTTCCCTAGTACGTAGTACATATAACTCAATGAGCCCAACAGATTAGTAAGCTGAAGTGGCAGGGGGCCGGCCATATAGCTCGAAGAGCCAACAACCAATGGGGAAGAAAGTTTCTCGAGTGGCAGCCTCGTACCTGTAGGCGAAGTGTATGGCGACCCCCCGCTAGATGGAGTGACGACCTGGTAAGACATGCAGGAAGTCGACGGATGCAAGTAGCTCAGGACCGTGCTTTGTGGCATTCCTTGGGGGAGGCCTATGTTCAGCAGTGGACTTATAAAAGGCTGTAATGAATGATGATAAAAAAAATAATTATAATCAATATTGAATAAAAAATTATTCTATTATATTCTATTCTTAGGCCGCCCCCCACAGCTTGGTCACTTGTAGACAACTTCAATTAAGAAAGACTAATATTTGTTTTGTTATATCCGTTGTCTGTGATAAAATACCTCACAGCTTGTAATTAGTTTATAATCACGCACTTCATAAATTCACAAGCGGCGAGTGTCGGCAAATCTTTCAGACACTGATTGCCAGCCGATGCATTCTTGGAATAGCCTATGTCAAATAAGAGACGACAAAGTGTTGTTTATTATAATAATGCTCTCCAGATTGATTGTCGGTTACGGCGGCCGGTCTCAACCGAGACCAGCCATCTGCGCAGGACAAGGTTATAGTTCACAAGAGTGTCTATTCTGTCTATTCCCTCACTCTCATAGTCTGAAGGGACGGCAAGCCGCCTAAGCGCAGGACACACCGCCATCTTCCTGACCTCGGGACTGCTACTGACAATTTCTCATAAAAAAAAAACCGAATATGTGATTATGACCCGAACCGCGGTTCGAATCCGGGACCATATGATCAGCAGTGAAGCTTACCATCACTAGAGCAATCAGTCAGTCATGACATTTAATTATGTAATGCACCAATAGGCTCGTGGTCTGTATACACTACCACATACTGCACACACTACATAAAAACCCGATAAATGAACACAGCCTAACAAGGCAGTCAAGTGGCAGGCTATATTGTGATTGTAGTCCTTCTTAACAGCAGAAATACCTAAAAGGGTGTTGCCAACCCACACTGGTAATTCTATACCTTGTGAGTTTCTTTGCGGTCGTACAAATTTAAGTTTTGCCGTGTAGTGGCGGGTGGCAACATAAGAGAGTCCAATCCATCATACCATTTCGTCCCATCGGTGTCGTGAGAGACGACTATGGGAAATGCCAGAAAGATTTCGAGAGGTGAGAGGTAAAGTACGAGTTTTGAAAAGTTCTCAGCCTGACTAAGAAAACAAAGAAAATATTTTTTTTTTATTGCATACCTTAAGCGAAAGCGCAAGGTATGTTCTACTATCGCCTAAAAATTAAGATTCCAACGTTTTATCGAATAAAATCGTATCTAGCAATCATATTATACATATAAATGATATAAAAAGCACATTGTTAGAAAGATAAATGATTGTTGAACTTATTAATATATTTTTTAAATCGATTAATTGCTATTTTTAAATAAAAAAAGGGTTTTAGTGGCTTATGGTGTGGATTTATCATGTCCCTGTGGCTTGTAAACACGATAACTATTGAAAATATCAATTGTTTAACACAATCTATTTTTTAATCTCTTCATCTATCATGTGGGATGCCACTGAATGTAAATGGCAGTGTAATTTTGTTTTGTTTAGCTATAATTAATTTTTTTCGGCTCCAAAATGGCGAAATTTTCGTTGATTTGGTAGCCTTGTATGTAAATTAATTCTGTAAATGGGGAGCTACAGCCACAGAGTCAGAGTAGTTTAGTTCGGCTTCAGTCGCCCAGTCGCCGTCGTGAGTGGACATTGTTTCGGTTGTTTGCAGCGGCTCAAAAAGATCGCTGTACAAATACACAATATTCGAATAACCAAATTTCTTAAATACTTGATTATAATAATAATAAGAGATTTTTTTTATTACAATATTTTAAAAGCACAGAATAAATAATAGCGTACTAAAAGTAAGTAGTATAAGTTTTTTGTCATGGGTGACATTTTCATTGTTTTCGAGGGTATTGAAACCGGTAGGGTTGTCAAAATGTAAATCCAAGATGGCGGCCGCAATAGGTATCAATTTTTTCATCATGGGTGTCATTTTCATGGTTTTCGAGGGTGCTGAAGCCGATAGTGCTGTCGAAATGTAAATCCAAGGTGGCGGCTGCAAAAGGTATAAATTTTTTCATCATGGGTGTCATTTTCATTGTTTTTGAGGGTGTTGAAGCCGATAGTGCTGTCGAAATGTAAATCCAAGATGGCGGCTGCAATAGGTATCAATTTTTTCATCATGGGTGTAATTCTCATGGTTTTCGCGGGTGTTGAAGCCGATAGTGCTGTCGAAATTTAAATCCAAGATGGCGGCTGCAATAGGTATCAATTTTTTCATCATGGGTGTCATTTTCATGGTTTTCGAGAGAGTTGAAGCCGATAGGTTTGTTGAAATGTAAATCCAAGGTGGCGGCTGAAGTAGGTACCAATTTTTTCATCATGGGTGTCATTTTCATAGTTTTCGCGGGTGTTGAATCCGATAGTGCTGTTAAAATGTAAATCCAAGATGGCGGCTGAAGTAGGTACCAATTTTTTCATCTTGGGTGTCATTTTCATGGTTTTCGAGGGTGTTGAAGCCGATAGCGCTGTAGAAATGTATTTAAACTACTTTAAAAATTCCGTATAATCATGTTATACGTAATTTTTTTAATGCGCTTAAGGTATGCCCAATTGGATTTACCAATATATTTTTTCTACATATTATTCTCCCCTTGTCTCAATATACTTACTCAATTTGTGCGTCAGCGCTTCTATGCCGCTCTTATAGGCCGATTCTTCCAACTCTTCAAAAAACCGCTCCGCTTCAGCTATCACCCCTTTTTTTCCAGCTAGGTGTTTTTTCAATTAGGAAACAGCAAATAGTCCGATGGTGCTAAATCAGGTGAATACGGGGGATGGTAAGCCGGAGCGTCCACCGCGAACTAAACTATGTAAAAACTAGGCTCAGTGAATTAAAGTGAGCTAACCTGGAAAATCATTGCACGTCCACCGAAAAATAAACTAAAACTGCTTTAGTGATGGCCTGTTTGTGCTGGTATGTTGAGTTAATCGGACGTGACGGAAAAACAAGTGAAGAGCAATGACGAGAGTTCAGTGGAGGATACATTCGTCATAGGAAAAGAAGATTGATTAATGCTTATTCCATATAGAGAAAACTAGTCGAGTCTTTTATCTCCGGATAATACAATAAAGGTTGTTTCACTGCCTGCGCATAATCACACACTAAACAAAATCAACACTAAGCGAAAGGCACCAGAGGGGTAAGGTAAGGGGGTGAGAGGCGCTTAGGTTAGTTCGCGTAGTTTCGGATCGGCCTACACAACTAAGTTAGTTTGACTTAGTTTGGCTATTTTGTCTAGCTTGAATGGCATAGTTTGCAGTGGACGTACATGTATGAAAAACTAGCTCAGCTATGCAAGCCAAGTTAAACTAACTTAGTTTAGTTTGCGAACGTTAGTTTGTTTTTTTAGAAACGGTGTTCATGGAGCATAGCCATTGCAACAACTGACTTGTGCGCCGGTGCATTATCCTGATAAAAAAAAGTTTCTTTTTAGCCAATCCCGGCCGCTTTTCACGAATTTTGTCGGCTAATTTATTTAACAGGTTAGTTAAATAAATTAGCCGACAACATTTATGTTAGTTAGTTATGCCATCTATTTTACCGCCTCTTTGCGACTTGGCTTTCATCGGTGGCGGAGACTGTTCAACAGTCGAAACAGTGGAAACATAGTTTGATTCTGGAATATAGTGGTAAATCGAAGTTCTTTCAATGGTTATAAATTTTCATAAAAAGTCTGTGTCTGTTCTACTACGTAGTATAGACACTACGAATTACTTCAATGACTGCATCACAACTTATTATCAGGTGATATAGTAGTTAAACGCTGGCGTAAGTAAAAAAAAAGTAAAATACATAGACCGGCGATGGAGAGCAGCATAGAAGATGCGAGACGTCTGTTACTCAGATCATCATCCGCCTGCCAAGCGTGACGAGTAAGGCAAATACTTACTTCAAAAAGCAACATTCTCACAGAACACCAGCGTAAAATAGCAGCTTAATGCTGCTGTTTTTCCTACGGTGAGTGCGGAGAACCGACGACCCTTTTTAATGGAAACGGTGCATTCTATCTCAGTCTTCAGGTGTGACAATGCATCTGCATTTTGATTCTTAATCGAGGATAAATGTAAATAATAATCTATAGGCCACATCATCCACTAACCATCAGGTCGACTGTGTGCTTGTTTGTCACCCTTATTCTATTAAAAAAAAGGGAGAGGTCAATGTACAGCTAAGAACTTTCAAGGACTTATAAAGAACACAAAGAGTAGTGATCAGGGAACTTGGTTACAAAAATTATTCTATGTTTCTAGTTGGACAGTAGCGGTAATCCAAAAGCGCTCGCTTCAACACTGAAAGAGATCTTGTCAGACACAATAGAGCAGAGCAGCAAGAGGCCAGAGTCAGCGGAGAGCAGGCCTCCCACCGCCGCGTCCGCACCCGCGATGAGCTACCAAGCCCCCACAGTCCCTGTAACAGTCGACAGCGACATGGAAGTAGAACAATGAAGAATATAGAGTAATTTACTTAAATGAGTGTGATTTTGAATTTTGTTGTATTATATCCTATTGTTTATAATGCTTGTGCTTTTGTTGACCACTTTCTTAGACTAAATGATAAAACAAAATGTTTTCTCTTTCATTTTATAAATACGCCCCAGGTTTCACGTGCCTGAGCTCTGAGGGATCATGCTGGAAATTCGCGAGATAATTTACGGTTGATTATTTTATTGATTGATTATTTATTATTACCTATTGGAATATGCAATTATTTATTTCAATCCTGATATTTATTCACGTACAATGAATATACTTTTTTTTACATCACAAAACAAAAACATACAAGAAACATTTTAGCATAATTTATATTATAGACACCCATAGAAGACAAACAAACAAACAATTATTTTTTTTTTCGAAAAATATGCGGGCGTCATGCGCACACGACAGCTCTCCAAAGTTTCATCATAATCTGATGAATGGTATAGGATTAAAATAAACATTTTTTTAAAATGAGATAATTCGCCTATTTTCTTTGCATGTTCTTTCATTCATTCCTTATCTTCAACCTTTTATAACTACCTGCAGCTTTTAGTATTATTTTATTTAAAACAAAAAAAACACATTGTAGGTATTCTAGATTTGCCGCTTGTGCCGTGTAGTGACGGTGCAAGAATATCCACTACCCCATATCGTCCCGTGGGTGTCGTAAGAGGCGACAGATGGAAATTAAAACAGGTGATGGGCGGCAGCATATTTTTTTTTATAGGACAAGGGTGACAAACGAGCACACAGTCCACCTGATGGTAAGTGGTTGCTGCGGCCCATAGACATCTACATCTATCCTCTATTACAAATCTAAATGCAGATGCGTTGTCACCCGTGAGGACTAAGATGGAATGCCTCATTTCCAGTAAAAAGGGCCTCCGGCCACCTGCACTCACCAAGCGAAACGCAGAGGTAAATCTCTACTTCACGCTGGTATTCTGTGAGGTCGTGGAACCACCCCGGTTCGAGCCGGCCCATCCTTGTGACAGCAAAAGCCGCCACGTGGCTCTACCACTGTTAAAAATATATTCCTGATACCAAATCAAAATAACAAAAACTGTGGTTGACAACCCGCTCGCCAAACGTGTCAAGTCTGGCAAAATCCCCCTATGAGGCAATCTATGTGGGAGACCTATGTTCAGCATATTTATAGGCTGTAATGGATGGATGGATTGATTCTATATTTTGGCATTTATGTAAAAAAAGAGTCTAAAAATAACAGTCTTAATATCTACTTAAACGAAAAGCTATTCCTAGATGAAATGACGATCCGATGAGACCAAAGAGTGTTGAATGTCAATCGGTGCAGGTGGGGCTCTGACTGCACTGACTTGGTGGCGCTGACGTGCTTTATGACAGGCATAATTGTGATGATGATGAATGTCATTATGTGATGATGTTTGTATATAAGCGACAAGACCCTACGGAATACGAAACCAAAGAGTCGTAGGTTCGAACCTGCCATTTGACTCTTGACGTGGACAACACCCTCAGATACACATATTTTTTAAGTTAAGGTCATTTGGCGTGGTAAACGAAAATATTGGTAGTTTTAACAGCAATGCTAGATAATAATATTTTAGAAAATAAGTAAATTATACCCTAAAAATCAGTTTTTACAAGCTCTGGCTGGGATACAAATACTGGCCCAAGACCCTGCTGTCAGGTATAAATTATGTGTTTAAACATATGGGGACAAAATCCGCCCTATGAGGCAATCCATGGGAGAGGCTCATGTTCAGCAGTGGACTTTTATAAGCTGTAATGGTTGAAATGTAATGTGTATATTATTATAAAAGGAATAATTATCTCTAATGTATATCCACTCATTCATTCCATTACATTAAAGTAATGAAACATTGAATAACATAAAACCTCTTTGGTGTCCGACATTTCTTATTTCCAAATGTAAAAACTAGCTGGCCGCCAAAAATCACTTTTTTCGAAAATTTCAAAAACTGCTTCACCATGACAATGGACAGTGCATGTCGTTGTCAATTGTCACAAAAGCGCATCGATTTATAAAACAAAAATAATCGTCCATTTTCGCACGAGCTTCCCTGCACCTCACATGCTCACATCGGAACTCCGTAGAGACGACATTGACGGCTTCAGACATTTCTTCGTCATATTTCACAGTATGACAATATTGTTGACTTAATTCTTCCTGTCTACGTACACTTTGTCAAGATACTGCGCGGGAATTCAATTTAGCAACTCTGGACAACATCACCACGCTGCGCAAGTCTGTGATAAAAGTGATGAAGATCAAATTGCGTTAGTACTACTCCCTTTTCGTTATAGTACTTCAACTCAAATCATTTATACTGGAACAATAAATTAAGACGCAAGCTTAGAATCATAAACTCTAACATATCCGATACTATTGATTTGATCGAGAGTTTATGTAGATGTATCAGGTATATATTGTTGTAGTTATAGGTACTGCTTTTTTATAAATGATTATTGAACTTTATTATAAACAAACCTCAGGTATCTTTTTTGTAGCGCATTTCTGTAAGACATTTTTAGTATTTTAAGTAACAACAACTTTTTATTCCTACTCCTTATTAAATGTACAAAAAAATGGAATTACTAGGTAGTATTAAAAATTGAATTTTAATTACAAATATGTGTAGGTAATACATTATGATATTAGGAAATCATAAAATTGCAGTATTTAGCTTAGCCTTAGTGTATTAATTTAGCCATACTTTCCTGCTTTGCAGGTTTAACCTTAACTTTTTAAACTTTTAACCGAATTGCCATATATTAAGGTTATATATATATTTTATTAGAATAAAAGGTAAGGTTGTTTTTTTTTGAAACTTATAGCTCCTATGTTTATGTAGGACTTGTAACAAAAACAAATGTGTCGACTGTGTAACTTGCCTAGCATGTCGTATAAGGCTACCAATTTCATATTGAATTTGTGATTGTATATTTTATTTTATTTTATTTTTATTTTATTAAAATTGGTTTACCAACAACTTATGCACTAACATCTTCTCATATAAATCAAGCGATATAGTTAAAAAAAAAATAAGTACACAGTCAATTACAGGTAAACACCACATGCATAACTTTTATCGCGACAATTAAAAGTCAGTCACCTTCACTTCTTTCGGTAGATAAACCACTACTTTTTACTCTTATATTGTCGTTTGGGGTCTATTTGGTTGTCGTAAGAGGCAACTATAGGTAATGCCAAATAGACTTTATGGACTTTCCACACAAGCAGGTATAACCTTCTTAAGCCAAGCGTAATATAACCAGATTGGCAACAGCATCAAAGGTGCGAGAGGTCTGGATCTGCGACCGTGAATCCGCCTGTTAAATGTGGTGATGAAGGTAAATACTCTTTACAGCGGGAGAAACTGTCCGGCTATTATTATTAGATACTCGTATTATTATAAATTTAGACCTATATCAGTTCCTTTGGTTTATTATGCTTAAGCAAAGGCTCTACTAAATACTTTAAAAAAATAATTTAAGAAAAAGTGTGTAATTCAGTTGCCTCTTTTCATTTAGCCCGTGATAGATTTCCATCAACATCATCAACGGACGAGAACGAAAGCATCACGGATTGGGACACGACTGGGGGCCTGCGCCCCCCGATGATGCCGACGCGACTGCCCCCGCCACAGGGTGTGGTCCTTGGCTCCGTGCGCAAGAGGCGCGGCAATCTACCAAAGCACTCCGTTAAGATACTGAAGAGGTGGTTGTACGACCATCGGTACAACGCATACCCGAGCGACGCTGAGAAAATGGCGCTCAGTCAGGAGGCTAATCTTACAGTTTTGCAGGTAAGTGAGCACTGCCGGCTTTTTTTATTATAGTATAGGCTGACAAACGAGCACACAGTCCACCTGATGGTATGTGGTTGCTGTGATCCATTGACATCCACATCTATCCTCAATAAAGAATCAAAATGCAGATGCGTCGTCACCCGTGAGGACTAAGATGGAATGCCTCTTTTCCAGTAAAAAGGGTCTCTGGTTCTCTACACTCACCATACGAAATACAGCAGTGTTAAGCTGCTATTTTACGCTGGTATTCTGTCAGAGCGTGGTCCCACCCCGGTCGAGCCGATCCATTCGTGCTACAACCATAATATACGTAGCTGCAGCATGGCTCTACCTTATATTTATTACACTGCACACTGCTGAATGTGCTTCTTAGATAACTATCGTATTTGTTTATAGCAAGATTGTCTAAGTTGATTTCTTTATCGGCCTTCTCTAAAGCTCCCTTTTCTCCGGTGTGGCGAGGCGAGGCGAGACGAGGCGAGGAAAGAATTGAAAATTGTTTTGCAAAATTTATAAGGTGGTAGAACTTATTTTTCTGTTTACCTATTTTGGCCACCACATAGCAGCACCTGCACTTATGTGTTTCTATTTAAAGGGTATACAGCGCTAGTATGATTACAGGTGGGTGAGGCATTCCATCTTAGTACTTAGAGGTGGTAACGCCTCTGTAGCCTTATTTATTTGTTTGAATTTAGGTGCAGGTGTCCGTGGACTGCAGTTGCTTAACATAAGGTGGACTTTAAGGTCGTTTGTCATTTTAGTTTCATAAAATCGAAAATTCGCTCCAAGCGCTTCTTTGGTTAGAATTGTCTGGATTGACGAATGTATGTGGGGCGAGTATTAAAATACTTATTTGGGTTATAATATTGAGCCGTATTGCTTGCTGTATAGAGTAGTTATTAACGAAAACGAAATGTCGTTATGAATTAAATGAAACTAATTTTTTTTACGAATTCTATCGCGCTTAATTTAGCTTTTTAATTCCCGCCGTTTCTGCTGCTTTACAGCACTCATGGTCACGGGGAGGGGGCGGGGGGCTGAGGTGTTTGACGTCCCGATGTCATAGTGAACCCGGCTACCTTCACTTTTTGAATATTAATTTATGATGCGCGAAATGAGCTTATAGTATCTTGATGTCTTGCAGTGGTATGCTTGGGTTTGGATTTAATTTTATTAATTATAGAATCCCAAGCAGATGGCAGCACCCACACATCTTCTCTATTAAAATTAGGGTGTTTTTTAATTTCAATAGCCTCGCCAATCATCCTTGGAATCGCTGTTTTTTTTTGCGAGGATTTGTGGTCTATCAAGTCTAATCTGATGGCGGGGACTATCTTGAACATGTTCACAGACTGCAGACTTCCCGGAACATCGGTGCTTCAAAGCAGCTATATGTTCTTTTACGCGGGTTTTATAGATCTTTTTGTTTGTCCTATGTAAGAAAGACCACATTCACAATCCAGCTTGTACACTCCTGCAACTTGTAGAGGCACATGACACTTGTTGGATGGTAAAAACAAAACAAAGATTTTACCACGGTAGCTACTTGTGATGGACGATGATGAGATTCACCATTTAAATATCGGTTGGTTTGGGTCTTTTTCCTATACACAGTGTGACCAATAGTGTTGTCAAAATTTTGAATGACTAAAATCTAGGAAAAAAGCAAAGAATAAAAAAAATAGAAAGCTAAAGAATTGTTTACCTCTAACTCCATTGTGAATTGTATTTTAGAGCTTATGGAATTAAGGTGGTCTAAAAATGCAGTTAATTTGTCAGTGGTAAAATTGTGAAAGTGTCCGCTTGTAGAACATTAGATTTACAGGAGCAGTAAAAAAGAGTTTCTTCTCAAAGTCCTTCATGAAAATGTCGGCGATTACGGCAGATACAGGTGAGCCCATCGCCACACCGTCTACTTGCTTGTAGAACTCTTCCTTCCACAATAGACAGGCAGATAAGAGGCAGTCAGTGTTTGAGTAATACTGCATAGTCTGTAGACATGTTATCTTCTAGCTTCCTAGTTATAATTGAGATGCAGTTTTCAATGGGTAAGCACGTGAACAATGACAACATCAAAACTGATCATAGTTTCATTGTCAGCAAGGTATAGATCTCTTTATCTCACTAACGAAAAGGTATGAATTGCGTGTGCTCTGCTATGTTCTCTCAGTGGTGACAGTAGTTTTACCAAATGTAGAGCCAACTTATAAATTGGTGAATCGATCTGGCTCACTATGGGACGTAGCGGAGAGTTTGGTTTGTGTATTTTCGGTAACCCATACAACCTTGGTGGTTTGGCACATGATGGTATTGTCGAATTCACGACGAGATTTAATTTTTTGGAGTATTTCTTTATTATGTCGGTAGTTGTTTTAAGTGTATTAGTTGTAGGGTCTATTTTGACCTTATGTACGTACTTACGTCCGATAAAAGTTGTTGTATTTTGAAATTATACTCTGATGTGTCCATTATTGCTGTAGCATTTCCTTTATCCGCGCGGAAAATCATGAGCTCTGGTCTGTTGCGTAAGTTGTACAACGCTTTAACCTCGTCTTTGGGGAGATTTAGTTTCGGCGCTGAACTTCGATACGATTTTCTTTTCGAAATTCGATTGAAATGTCGGGAATTTAAAAGGTAAATTAAACGCGATAGAATCTGCAAAAATTTGTTTAATTTAATGTGTGTAGTGTTCGCGTAATTGTAAGAAATGATTATGCCGTTATAAAGTTAATAAATACTCTATGTTGCAATACGGGCTATTGCTATCTCGCGATAGCCACCACAAAATCGTGACAGCGAGAGATCGCGGGACAGCGCTGCGCTGTGTTTCCACGGCAAAGGGCGTCTGTTTAATAATTAGATAAAATTTGGCGTTATAATTTTATCTAAATTAATGAAATATGACTAATTTTTGCGGTTCCATCCATTCCATCCATCCCACAGCCCACAACAGTCCATAGCTGAATATAGGCCTCCTTCATAGATCGGGTTATAGAGGGGATTCTGCCTTAGTTGCCACGCTTGGCTGGCGGGTTGGCAACCGCAGTTTTTTATTATTATTTTGAGTTGTTATTAGGAAGATACTTCTGCCCATCTCATGCTTCAGTTTACCTCTGTCGCCTCTTACGACACGGCATAACACCACGGGACGATATGGGGAGTGGATATTCTTATAACGCCACTACATTTTTTGCGGTTATTCCATTAATTTAGACAGTGTTTATTGCAAGACGCATTAAACACTAATTAATTTGTTTACGACTATTTTGTTGTTACGTAGAGTGGACTTTGATTACTCAAGATAATTGATACAGATAATGCAAGTCATTTCAGTCCTTGTTATACTCGAATATCTTATCGTGCGTGACATACAGTTGAACATCAGTTGCGTTGCACTTTTTCAAAGTTTTTACAGCTAAATTTATCAATTATTGACAATTTGGAAGTAATTTGGAAGTAAAGACTAGAAATGAGTTGGGGATGAATCGAACTTTAGGCATAGTCAGTTTGAATAGCCTATTTTATTTAGAGGATGTCATGGGGGTCATGGTTGAGTAGGGGCAAAAAGTTCTCATTACACTCCTAGGGACTCAAAATGGCCACAAACCAAAAAATTTAAAATTGTTATTTATTCTTATTATAACTCCGCCTCCTTCGGAGGTTCTTACAGTCTTTACTTCCCGCACCCCACTTGTTGATAATGACAACAAGAAATAAAGACACAGACGTGGAGGACACTGAAACATAGAATGTGTGTTAGCTCTGTGTTTATCGCAAGGCAAATTGGACAACAATATGTAACCTCACTATACGGACCCCAAAATCTAAGTGCGATGTCGCGCTTGCTCGGATTGTTATTAATTTAAAACTCAGTTCTTACTGCGCTATATTATTTATAGAATATAGCAAATGTTATATAACATAAAAATATCGCCCAGCATTTATTTTTATGGACACATTTATACTATACAGTATTTAAACGGATATAGCAGAATAGCATAGCGTAGTCTGAACTGAGCTTCAATCGCAGACTCACGATTGGCAAATTTTCGTGGAAACAAGCCGCCGAGATTTAATTTTCGTCTCGCCGTTGTAAAAGCAGCTTTATGCACTGCTGGATATAGTCAGTGGCGATGTTTACATTTCACATACATACAAAATGAGCATATACGTAATGTCAATGTATTGCTGCATTACGAGCAGTAGACTTCATTCAGTAAAATGAAAGCAAAGTTGTAAAATGGCATGGCAGGTGAGCATTCTACCACTGAACCTTCTATTCTAGCATTTTACCGTATAGTGGCAGTGTATTATTATTTTTTATTATGTACCAGCAGCTGTGCAGGTCTAGAGAGACCAGTTTCACTGCGACCTAAAAGATCTATTGTGATCGCTGCTATGTCTACAGTTCACTGCTAAGCCCTACGTCCTCAATGAATAGAAGAAGTTGCTAAGCTGTGAGTTATTTCACTTTTTCTGGGCGAAATACATAGTTTCTCAGATGAGTGCTGCGTTTGCGCATTAAGGGTCCACAATTTGTCAGAATGTGTAAAGGCGTTTCCTCCTCATGGAGCAAAACCAGCACATCCTTGAGTTGCTTAGTCCCAGGATGGAAATGTGCTTTTTAAGACAACGGTGTCCAGTCAGGGCTCTTACCAAAATGCGCAATTTATTTTTACCTAATCCCAGGGCTTCCGAAGTGAGTTTACGGTCGAAAGCCCGGATTAAGGTTTTAGAATGTTTTAAGCCTGATGTATCAGTCCAGATCTTAAGTGATTAATTGTGGTTAAGAGTTTCCAGGGTCAATCGGGCGAGGCTTTTTGAGATTCCACAAAATGGCTCGGGTCCAATTTGTGTACTGTTTGAGCCCTCCCGTGCGAGCTTGTCGGCAGTTTCATTGCCTACAATACCATCTTAAAACTACCTTGTCATTACCACCCAAGGCGTTTAGGTGGTTCACGCAGTCTCCAACTAGCTTCGAGTTCACCAAGTTTGATCTCAGCGTTAGCAGTGCTGCTTGACTATCAGAGTTAATATGGATTATATTGTTAACATAGTGTTTTTACAGATTGATTTCCGCACACTGGAGTATGGCGAAAATTTCTGTCTGGAAGATAGAGGTGAATCTACCCAAATTCATACTAAGTTTGAATTTGGGTCTCTCCTCATAAATTCCAAAGGCTACGTTAAGGCCCATTATTGACCCATCGGTATAGCATATAAGGCTACCGACCTCACAGATGACCTGTCCATTCAGCCACTCTTCCCTGGAGGGTAGTTCCACTGTACTTTTTGTTAAAAGTATATAGTGGACGCATGATATCTGAAATCATGCTAGTGGCAGTGTAAGAATATTCACTACCCAATATCGTCCCGTGGGGGTCGTAAGTGGCTACAGCAGGAAACAAGCTAGGGGATAGTCAGCAGCGTATTTCTAATAACAATAAAAAACTACGGTTTCTAACCCGCCTGCCAAGCGTTGCACTACGGCAAATATAAACTATTGAGGAAGTCTATATTCAGCAATGTACTTTTGATAAGGTTACAGTAAAATAGCAGGTGGTGTCGAAGTAAGAGATCCATCATCACATTTGATCCAAATTTTGTTTAAATACCTTATATAGATGGTGACTGGATAAAAGGTAGAAAACGCTTGACACATCTTTCTTTAGGTATGCAACTGGTTTATCAACGCACGACGACGCATTCTGCCTGAGATGATCCGACGCGAGGGTCACGATCCGATGCGCTATACAATTTCACGACGTGGACGCAAGCAGCCGGCCGCCATTGGCATGATGGGCATGGGGCACCCTGGATCGTCAGGTGCGGGCATCGGCATGCCCGGGAACGTTACCGTCCCTTCATGGGGTGGAGTTGAGGTTCAGGTTTGTCAGAGTTAACTTTATGTAGTAATTACGTTAATGTGATACATATTCTACTCCGTTCTTTGGGTGTCGTAAGAGGCGACTTAAGGAATAGCTAGTAAGATGACGACCTCTGATGCATGAAGGTATCATCACCTAATTAAACCTGATGTAAATAGTGGACCTCGCATCGTAGGAAGGATTTGATCTTTTGCTGCCGCCCCCTGGCATCCTCTTATTTCTGCGAGGATTTTGTAAATGGTCTGCCGTGCTGCTGTGGTGAACGACATAATATTTCCTCGAAATTATTTATTTCTTAATCATGCAGGTTTTATCACGATGTTTTCCTTCACCGATGAGCACGTGGTGAATCATCGTTTAAAATTACAACAAACAGTTTCATTGGTGCCGACGGGCTACGGTTCCAGGTTACTCGCGTACTACTACTATTTTACAGCGAGCATGCTACTACGGCTCGCTTAAACTTCTCATATATATTTTTAAATCGCTCATTATGAATTTTTGCTATATTATGCTTGAAAATATTTTAGAACGTTGTGGACAATAGCCGCGGCCATGATTATGGTGACGGTCTTCTTGTCTACCGAAACGACGAGCTCGGCGACGCCGAGGAAGGCTACTCGAGCGCTATAAGTGAGGACGAGGTCAAATACGACCCTTCTGTCTGGCAGTCTGTTATACGTTACGGACCAGAGGATCGGGAACTGCATCCGGCAACACGAGGGTAAGTTACTACACTTTTTTTATATAACTGAAGTGATAAACTTGATGATAAGTGACTACTGCAGTCTGTGGACACCTGCAGCTAATTTCAATCAATGAAGGCTACAGATGCGTTGTCTCTGAGGACTAAGATGGCTCACAGCCTGTAATTAGACTGGATCTATACCTTTCAGATCACAAGGCAGCGCGGCAAGCACTGCTATTTTAGTCTTTTCTTTTCAGGCTAAGATTTAACTCAGGTCTTAGTTAAATTATCCACTTTCCAGTTAGACTTACTATAATCACGCTGCACTATTATGTTTTAGCTGCAGCACGATTGGGTTAGCTCTACCGGAGAAGGACAAAACCCCCTTTTTACTGGTGAAGAAGCATTCCATCATAGTTTTAAGGGCTGAAAAAACGTCTGCATTTTGATGTACATATCGATGTCGTTAGGCCACTGCATCCACATACCATTAATTGAACAATGTAGGTAACTTTTGGAATACGCAGTTTTTCAATTAGAAAACTTCCATTAATCGTAAACAATGTATCATTAAAAACACTCACTCTTACAGTATAATCCACAATTGATAAAAGATAAGCGCAGAAATGATCTAGTCTGTTACTACAACACGCATTACACCAAAAATTTCACATAAATTGTTTACCTTTCTTGGTAATTATCTATATAATAAAACAAACTTAATAGAAATAATTGCAAATTAAAAGTAACCCAATGGTTGTTAAGTCTAGACTACGAGACCACTGAAAACCGTCTTATTTTATATATATAACTCTAATACTGGATAGATCATACATACATACACATACACACACACACACACACACACACACACACACACACACACACACACACGAATCACTAAAGTAACTAATAATACAATTCATTTGTCTCTCATTTGTTAATCATACAAATAGCATGTTAAGTTGTGATGATATTATCCTGAGGGGGAGACCCTGGTGATCCGTAACACAGGCTTCCGCCTAGTACAGACACTAGACTCTCAGCCCATAGTCTACTTTGTTTATAACCTACCTTGTAAACTTGAATTGTGAGTGTAAATAAATATATTATTATTATGGGGTATCTATAAAGTTTTCTCATCTGGTTTGGGCAGTATAAATATATAATTGTAAATGAAAATGGTAAACATACATAAATATCAATAAAATAAAATAAATACATAAAAAATACATAAATATATAAAAACCCAACCAGATGGAAGCCCTCGGCAGGGGAGACCAGACGGCCGAGGGTTAGGGGGAAAGGAAAAGAAACCGGCGGACGATGCGGGCGGTATAGAGGAGCACCACCTTCTGCATTTGAGCCTGGAGCGGTCCGTCACGGAGTCCCAGTCGCCTCAGATGACTGGGATTAACCCGTTCGCAGAAACGACCACAGGAATAATTTCGGTCGGCAGACCACCCCACATGCCGGTAACCTCGTGATCCAGGTCCAGATATTTTGTCACCTTATCTGTTTCGGCTTTCACAAGGTTCTCGTCATAAGGAATGGTAATGTCGACCAAAAAGATCCTTGACTGTGCCCGGTCTATCAGCACAATATCAGGCTTATTCGCAAGAATAGTCCTGTCTGTGATGATGGCCCGGTCCCAGTAGAGCCTGGAGCGGTCATTTTCGAGCACGGCTTCCGGCAAGTACTTATAATACGGCAGTTTCCGATCCACGAGGCCGTATTTCAGAGCGAGCTCCTGGTGTAGAATCCTGGCTACTAGATTGTGTCTGGTGCAAATACTCAGAGTTAGAAAGCGCCGAACAACCGGAGATGACATGCCTAAGTGACTCACCGGGATGGCGACAAGCTCGACAGATGTCGACGGCGCCATCCTTTAGGATGTATCTCCGATAATTGTTAGTCTTAATAACCTGATCCTGTATCGCACAGACAAAACCCTCGGTTTCCCCAAAGAGGTCACCGAAACGTAGCCAGTGAAGGGAGGCGACTGTGTCTACGAAAGGCTCATGTAGAGCCTTGTAGAACCTCCCGTGGAGCTCCTTCTCCTTCCATACGGTCTCCCGGTCGGAAATGCACTGTACTGCTGGGTCTTGCCATTGCTCGTTGGCTAAGGATAGAGGGGTGAGCCCTTTATTACATGAAATGACGTCCCTATAGAATGGATCACCCGATCTCACCAGAAAGTAGTTACAGAGGCTGCACACTTCACGATTATGCACCGTGAGAGCGCTCAAAAAGCCGCGCCCACCATGTTTCCGTGGCAAATACAGCCTCATTACTGACGATCTCGGGTGATGCATCCTGTGAGACGTCATAACAGTGCGGACTTTTCTATCCAGAGCGTTCAGTTCGGTCTGAGACCACCTGAGTATGCCGAAGGTATATATGAGGACAGGCATGACCCAACCGTTATATGCGTGTGTCTTATTCACACCCGACAAAAGACTGTTGAGCACTTTGGTCAAGCGTGCATAAAACACATCGCTAACTGACTGTTTCATGCCCGCCTCATGATACCTATGTTCTGTGACATACCCAGGTATCGGTATGTTTCAGCCTCGGATAGGGTCTTTATGTTGATGGGCATAGATAAGTCTATACCCTCAGAGTTAGCAACCCTACCCCTTTCGACATGGAGGACCGCACACTAATCCATCCCCAGCTCCATTCTAATGGAACTGCTAAAATCACAAATGATGTTCAGCAATTCCATAAGATGGGAGCGACTGAAGGCGAATAATTTGAGATCATCCATATAGAAATGGTGGGTCACTTTTGTACCTCCTTTCCGAAGCTGAAATCCCCTCCCGGTACCCTTCAGTAAGGTACTGAGAGGGTTCAGAGAGAGGCAGAACCAGATTGGACTCAGACAATCGCCCTGGAAGATACCCCTTCTTATCCTTATGTGGTTCTCCGCATCTTCCGCACCGTCATCCGCTCGCCTAGATGACAAAGGATCGTACTCCACTGCCCCATACACTGCCCGAGGAAGTCTCTAACTGTACAGTCAACCTTGTACAGCTCGAGGACCCTCTTCAGCCATGTATGAGGCACCGAGTCGAATGCCTTTTTGTAGTCTATCCAGGCGGCGGATAGGTTCCGACGGTTGCGTTTAACCACTTTGCCAATTACCGCGTCAATGAGAAGTGGTTCCTTGGTTCCACGACCACCGCCCCGACATCCATTTTGAGCGCGCGACATCACCTGATTTGAGTTCAGGTGACGAGTGATTCTCGCGCTCAAAATGGATGTTAGTGTCTTATATATCGTGGGTAGACACGTGATGGGGCGGTATTTGCTCGGGTTTATGGTATCCCAGTCTTTAGGAACCAAATGAGTGATCCCAGTAGTGAAGAGGCTCGGGAGCGACTTTTGGTCGAGAGCCTCTTGAAATTGTCGGGCGAGCACAGCGTGACACACCACGAACCCCTTCAGCCAGTAGTGATGCAGCCCGTCGAGCCCCGGACTTTTCCAGTTCGGGGCCCTTCGGACCGCCTCAGCTACATCGTCCGGCATTATAATGACGGGGTCCATGGGCGTAAGATTCGCACACTGACTCACCACAGCTTCCGTCCAAGGGCCCTCGCTGTGGTTTACGGGCTCTGACCACAGGCCGCGCCAGAATGCGACAATGTCGACCTGATTCGGTGCTTGGCCCGTTCCACGTACCATTGGTCGGTCCAATGATATAGAGCCTCTTCTGATCACTCTGGAAGAGACGATTCTGGTTGAACTGTGTCGACCTCTCGGTATATCGCCGAATCCGCTTTCCCCAAGCAGCGATTCTTTGCTTCAGGTCGTCTATGCGCTCCGTCAGCTTTTGCGTAATATCAGGCTGGGACAAACTTATATTTGTCCCAGCTAACGCCATCCTGACGGTGCGCACAATTCTCGGTCTATTATTACCCGACCTGAAGCTTGTCAGTCTGCCGATTATGGCTCTTGCCTTTGAGATACGGTCCTCAATTCTTTTTCTCCAGGCTGGGATGGCGCTACTGAGTCTAGTAGTGCGTCCAGCCATGGGAAGTTTGGCGCCAATAATACGGCAAACTGCCAGTGCGGCGCCAAAAAGAATTGAGTCCGTATCGCAAAGGTCCCGGCTGGCTTCCAAATAGGTCACCAGCATTGGGTTGAGAGCCCTCACGACAGCCTGATTCCGCTTGTTTAGGGGTATGCGGGGAAGTCGCGGTCGATTTTCGAGAGGCGTACTGCGCGTTTCCAAAATAGCCTCTTCCAATATACTCCTCATTTGCTCTACTTTGTGGGAGACTATTTCATCATCGTCTGAATGAACCACAACTGGAATATCCACTGCGGCATCCACGTGTGCGGGTTGCTCTGCAATTAGTAGCGCCGCATTACCAGCTGCAGCATTTTCATCCGATGAGGGAACAGCCTCACTTCGTAATCGTTCGAGTTCAGCGTCACCAAATATGTTGGGGTGCAGGATATACCGAACTCGGTCTGCCAGGTTTTGCTCCGTTACATGAACCGATGGCTCCAGCTCTGCGAAAAAGCGATTCATCCGAGCCCGATACGCCAACATTCCAGTTTCTTCCCCTTTCGCCCTAGAGTACGCTCGCAATGCGTTTTTGTTCATTATTTCCGTCCAACGCATGCGACGTGCTCCACCAGCAGCGGATGCCGCTTGCTGAGTCCGAGAAGACTCGGCTGACATCAAGCCCTCTGGTGGGGATGATGGATGCGGGCGGCTGCTAGGTGGTCTTGCAGCACCCCGCGCTCGGCTGGCGGCCCGCATGCTGTCGCGTCCAGCGCCAGCTCCAGACACGCCCTGGCAACCCCCAGGCAGCGAACCTTTGCGCACTCTTCTTTTTTCCATCACCCATTAAAGGGGCGTCAATTAACGGGAGACGCCCAGGCCCGGCACCGTTTCATGGTGCGGCCGTAAGCACAAACGAGCCTTTGCACCCTCAGTTCTGCCGAGGCATGGCGCTCACATCTCTTGGCAAGGCACTGACTGACTGCGCTGACATAGCAGTTTTGTCACTTAACTGTTACGTCAGCGGGCGATGGGGTCGTCAATTCCCTACGCCTTTATTATTATTATTAATAGTTGCAGAAATGTATCTGTTAATTTCATCGATATATATATATATATATATGTACTACGTACTAGATTTCGCATTCCTAACATTGACTATGTTTAACTAAACTGTACTGCAATCCGTACACTAAACTAAAGATTGCGTAAAAATTGAAGATTTGTGAATTCCATGAGATAATTATTATTACTTTTACTTATTTAGACGTATGTTTGTTTAGTATTGTATATTATATTACATTCTTACAGTATTTTATATTAATATCTCATTTTATATTTAAAGTATTCGCGCATACGCGACTCTACTACTCCTGCGCATGCGCGAAGACATAGAGTAGCGCACAATTTTTGTTTGGAATAGCTTCTCTAGTGCGTAGTACATATAACTCAATGGTTAATTTAAATAATATTTATGTAGACTGTTAATGGTTGTTGAAATATTTGTCCTTTTTGCATAGAACGGGAGGGATAATGACGATGAGCTCGGCACAGTTAGGTGACGCTGGCATCTGGTCGCCACAGCTGCCGCGTCTGCATCAACCATTAAACACGCAGGTAGACAATCTGTATAGCTTTTGCTACATTATGAAATTGACTTGTATTACAGGAGTTGCAGGAGGGTAATAATACTCTTTAGCACCGGGATGATCACTTTCACAGGTTACTTTACAAGTTCACGAATAGAGGTATATACAGGGTTATTTTGATATAACCGGTCAAATATGCAGAGAAGGTTCAGAATAAGTGATATAGGCAATAGGTGAAGAAAAATTTATTAAAAAATATCTCAAAAATTTTTCAACCATTTTAAATTCAAAATGCGTGGTAATACATTATTTTAACTGATTTTACTGCGCACGCTCACAATCTTAAGGGTTGATCAGTAGGCAAAAACGTTGTTGCCCATAAATCACATTTAATTTGGGATGATTTTAAATAAAAATAGAACCCTTATTTACTCGTATTTTCAAAAACTGCAATAAAGGTATATCATTATTTATATATTTGGACTTATGTTTATAATTTGGCTACTTTTTGAAAAATAACCCTGCATAATATTGCAATGGTTTAAATAATACTGCAAAATGGTAGCCTGTCTCTACTACCTAGCAAAACTGAACCCAGCAAGTTTGAATGTGTAAAAATCATACAACCTAAATACTTTTATATTAATAAAATAAATAAAAACCTGTGATACATATTACTGATAAGTGAATTAATTAGTAATATGTATTTAGAAAATTACTTTTAAGACTTGGTCGATATTCAGTTTTAAATTATACTTTAAATATAATGTGAAAATGTACAATAATTATGTTTATTTGATTATATTAAATGTATACCGTCATTACACAGTATTCTTAAACAATTCCTTTAAATAATGTTTCTTCTGACAAGCTGACAACTTGAATATTTAGATTATATGGTTCAAATTAGTGTTGCCCAAAATCGGTCTTGGTCTTGCAGTCTTGGTCTTGTTCTTGCATTTTTGCAAGACCAAGACCAAGAACAAGACCGCCTCTTTTTAGCAAGACCAAGACCAAGACTGACCGTGCAAGATTTGCGCAAGAACAAGACTTAGCTTGCGAGATTCTTGCGTCTTGCAGTTAGGACTAAGTGTCGTTTCAGGGAGTATAGGAGTTCGGGTATACGCTTAGGGACTCTATGAGACGCAAAAAATATAATGTAAAAAAATTGGAAAATTGGACTTATGCGCATTACGAACAATACCATAAATATACATAGCGAATGAAAATATCCATTAAAAGAAAAAAGAGTGCATCCCTAGTTTTGACCATCGGCACTTTGATAGTGCGCGGCGTCTTATTGTCGGCGTCAACAAAGGTCGAATACTGACCTGTCAAAGAAATTGTGCAGCTATTCGAAAGTACAAGGTCAAGATACACGTGCCGGCGGCTACTATTGATATCGCATAATCGTCGCCGCCGCGCCACACGCACTACATTTGACACTGTTTGATTGCCGCCACATAGTACATGTTTCAAAGAATAAAATAAGTTTCCGGGTGCTCAGAATGGACAACGAATACATTATCCTGATCTCGCAAGAAATATTGTAATTAGATAATAGGTAGGTATCATAATAATTTATTCTAGTAAGTAATTGTTATAAAATTAACTATATGGATTTATAATAATTATTTACTATTATTGTTATTATTATTACCTAAAAGATAAACATGTTCAGTAAGTTCACTGCAAATCTCGACTTTTGCAAGTGTGTGTTTTTAAAACACAAAGTGCTCGAATATGTCGTCACACATTTGATAAATATGGTTGACGACACCATAGCACTTTTAAAACACTTGAAATGTGTAAAAATGGATCTGGATCTTGTCTTCAAGGCTTAGTTATTAAGGAGTTGGAGGGGTACCAAGGTAAACCCAAAGCCGTCATCTCGGAAGACATTTTAGACTGTTGGAGGACGCATGAGACAAAATATCCGATTTTATCGAAGATGGCCCGTGATTTTCTTTTAATACCTGCAACTTCAGTACCTGCTGAGAAATTATTTTCTAAAGCATCATTAGTAATTAGAAAACATAGAAATAGGTTAAGTGATGAGTCAGCCAGATGGTTACTTTGTATTAATGCTTTGTCAAAAGAATAAATATAAAGTACCTAACAGTAATGTCAAAGCTGTTGTGTACATACTGTGAAGTAATTTAATTTGCATCGTATTTTATTTTTTATTTAAATAAATGGTATATTGTATAACTCTTTTATTCCATTTCATATATGGTGAGGGTCTATCAATCTCTTTCTAGAGAGATAATTTTATTTAAAATACAGTGTAGTTATTGCCATTAATTTGTTTTTATATGTATGTTTAACCACGTTTTAGCACATGTAAGCTTATTAAATGTAAACGTTTATTAAGAAACTGACGCCCATAGCCGTGGGACACGGAGACGGTAGATAGCTCAGTTGGTTAGAGCATCGGCACGGACCGCTTAGGTTGTGTCACGGTGTCAGTTGATTTTTCGAATTTCTCATTAAATGTTTAGACATTTATTAATATGGTTGGTCTTTACTATGGCTATGTTAATTCAAGCTCAATATGTACCTACTCTGTTAAGTTGTTCTAAGATCTAAAGTAGTTTAATAAATAGTAATAAGCTAATAGGTCATTGCGATACTTGCGAGAATCTTGCTGCAAGACCAAGACCAAGACCAAGACTTGGAGCGCAATACCAAGACCAAGACCAAGACCAGGTGTATTGGCGCAAGACCAAGACCAAGACTTGCTAAGTCTCGTCTTGTTCTTGCATTTGGGCAACACTAGTTCAAATAACCAATCAACTGTTTTATTTTTATTTCATTTTATCCTGCAGCAAACCAATAGCAAATGGTAAGGTATGTATACAATATGTTCATTCATGTTCACTAATTTCTCTTTCATCATTCAGGTGAGTACACCTCCACCGCCTGTGGCCATGGAGTTGGAAGTAGCCACCACGGATATGTGGTGCCACAACAACAGAATCGACACATTTAACACGTGAACGCGCTACATGCCCGTCAGTTTACCTTACTACTAGGGTCTCCAGTCAAAATAGACAATAAAATTCGCATTATATTTCTGCAATTATATTGCAAGTAATACTAATGTAATAGGTGTCTACATTTTTGTTGAAGAGTTGCAAACTACTCACGTTACGTACTACTAACTCACGTTTTTGGATACCTTTTACCTTTCGGTGACTCTCACGCTCACGCCTGTCACGGATGTGATTGCTAATAAAGTAAATTACTAGATCAGTAGTCGATCACACGAACTGTACTGCCACTAATAAAAATAAATATTACTTACTATTCCTAAAGCTTAGTGCATAAACGGTTACAGTTGCAAAACTTGCAAACAAATGTGTTAGTATTAGGTTTTACGTTCGAATAGCAGGAAGTATTGCTGGGACATTATCTGTTGTAATTACAAATTCAGGGTCATTATGACAATAACCCATGGTAAGATCAGTGCCTAATGCATAATATTGCTAATCATTTCGTATTATCATTCCATATTATTTTTAATTATAGGTACATATTTAAGTAAATGTTGTGTAGTTGTGAAGATGTTTGGAAGTGTAATCAACTACGCATAAACGGTAAAACGTGGATGAAAGGCATACATATAGATAATGTTCTTAATGAACACAGGGGATATTTTATAACCTATGAATATAAAAACTATTGCAGGAAAGTGGACGCAACGTTTGCATTTCTGTGTCCGTCGAAATGAAGCCGCGGACACATGCTTATAATAATTAATAACTATTTAAAAGGCTGTGAAATATTATTTTTAGGGTAATTAATAGAATCAAACTTTCATACATCCATTACAGCCCATAAAAAGTCCACTGCTGAACATAGGCCTCCACTACAGCCTCATAGGGAGGATTTTGCCAGAGTTGACAAGCTTGGCGAGCGGGTTGTATTTTGAGTTATTAGGAAGATGCTGCCGCCCATCACCTGTTTCAATTTCCCTCTGTCGCCTCTTACGACGCCCGCGGGACGATATGGGGTAGTGGATATTCTTACACCGCCACTACACGGCTGTCGCCACTACACGGCACGGAATCAGACATTGCGGAATTCCATTTATGTTTTATTACGCGGTTCTTAGTTAATTAACTTTTAACATCATACATTTTTATAAAATGGTTCTTCTAAATTAACTTATGTTAGGGTTATAATCAGTGTAAGTTGTTACAAAAGGGATTTTAAGACACTTAGTTAATACGGAGTTGAATAAAGACTCTCTTGAATTCAACACATGTTGATAGATTCCATCAACTGTAACCGTTAGTGTACTAAGCTTTACGAAAGGATATACTAAGCGCTGAATTTACGTAACCAGTTTTATTTTATAGTGATCATTATTTTATTATTAGAAGTTACACTAGTATGGCAGAAATGTGGTGGTGGGTACGTTGCCACCATTTTCATCCTGATGACGTTCATTAGAATAAAAAAACCCAAGCATATAAATTCGATAGGCATTATTTGGCAAAAATGTACTAGTTATAATCTGTGTATTATGTATTTAATTTAGATTTAGTTTAATAATTGCAATCTGTAGGCGACGTCGGTGTTAAAACCTAACAGTTTCTTGTAAAGTTTTTCATCAGGCTATTACATTTGTTTCTATTAAGAAAATTTCGTGATTGTGCAATTTTGTTTCTGTATTGAGGATGCTGTTGAGTTAATCTTTAATTAATAAATCTTATTTCAAATATTTTGTTTTCTTTTCTCACGTATGTATTGTTTTAATGCCGGCATCACCTGACAGTTTAAAGAAATGGTTCCATTATGTTTTATCTATGAAATTGATGTCTTTAACATGAAATCATTATTACAGTTTGTTTGTCAAAAATTTAATTTTAATAAGTTACTTTTGTGCTTGATTTTCATTTAACTTGGGATACATTAAAAAGGAACCATTAACAGGTGGTGCCGGGCAATACGGAGCTTGAGAGAGACAAGTTTAAATGCTTGTACCTCTTAGTGGAGACGGCCGTAGCGGTGCGTCAGAGGGAGAAGGAACAAGAGCAGATCCAATAACTTTGATATTTTGCTAAATAGTAAATAGATCTCAAAATATATTTGTAAGAAGAATTGTTAAGTTTAAAATGTTTGAAGAAGCAAGAAAATATTAGCATTTAAGCGAACCTATTCAAAGTGCGTAAGAGATCACCGACCGATGTAAGATCTAAATTTTTAATAAAGTAGATAATTATATATATTATTTGTTTACCACTTTTTTATTTTTATAAAACTAAAGTGACGAACTATCTTCAAACAACTTTAACTAATTTAATTTTAATTGCTTTTTGTAGAGAAGTAATTTTGTTATTAAGATTTTTTTTAATATTATTATTTTACACCTACATCGATCATTGATTATGAATCAAAACTTAAATGCGGTATCACTCCCTTAAGGACTTAGACGCCTCGTTTCCAGTAAAAAGGGTCTGCAGTTCTCTACACTCACCATACGAAACATTGCAGCATTAAGCTGTTATATTACGCCGGTATTCCGTGAGATCGTGGTCTTACTCCGGTCGAGCCGACCCATTCGTGCTGCCACTATATTATTTTTTATAGAATGAGGGTGACAAACGAGCACATAGTTCACCTGATGTTAAGTGGATGCTGTGGCCTATAGGCATCTACATCTATCCTCAATTGCGAATCTTAGTGCGAACACAGCGGTGACACTCTCTGTACGTGAGAGTTGAAGCGCCGGTGACATTAGGCCGCAGCGTGTAACGCTAGGGTTGATACCGAACCGAAATGGAATATTACAGACTTACGCCAAAGAAAATACATAGTAGGTATATGTTATATAATGTAAACTTATGTATTTAGATAGTAAAAGATACGATCAATTTTAAATCAACTTTTATTAAATATCTTTACAGATGGGGAAATTAAAATTTCCGACAAAAAAAAATATGTACGACAGTTAATGGTAATCTTAAATAATAATTAACCAACACTTAGTATTTCAGTACGCAATAATCAGTATTAACTACTACCCTTTAAAAATTACTTACTCTTATATATTTTTAGCTTTTTTGATGACTTTTATAATTTTTATTATTACTTCTAACAGTTGAAAAAATTCGTAGCCGTATGTATAATTTTTTTGAAAATCCATAGGGAAGCATAGATAGATAACACTTAATTGTACGCCAAAAAATAACATGAATATTAACAAAAAATGAGAAAAATAAATGTGGTACAATGGGTGGTCTTATCGCTAAGAGCGATCTCTTCCAGACAACCTTTGGATGGACAGGATTGCAAGAAAACAATAAAAACGTGTGTGGTTTGGCGACAAAAATAACATTATTTTTTATTAAAGCCATAAAATAGAAATACAGAATGGTATATGAGTACATAGATAAGATAAATACGTACATACATATTAATATATATGTATGTATGTATGTATGTATGGATATATATATTTTATTTTAATTGTAATTGTTATTATACAACTGTTTGTTGTCCTTAATAAAAAATATAAATATATATTTTTATAAATATAAATATATAAAATTACAAATATGTTTTTTAAAAACTATTATATATAACATAAATGTGCCATACATATAAATAAATGCCACGCCCCGCGGGCTTCTCAAGGTGCCCGCACACATCCAGACACCCACACATAGCCGCAAGTGACTTTACGTGCACACATGCTTAAGTGTCATTTCTTTTCGCGTAGTGTATATATTCTTTGGTGCGGATGCGTTGTCATCCCTGAGGATGAAATGCCTTGTATCCAGTAAGAAGGGTCTCCGGTTCTCTATACTTACCATACGAAACAGCAGTATTTAGGTGCTATTTTACACTCTGTGGTCGTGGCCTGTGATAGCGTGATATAAGAGAATATAATAACTACGTTTTGCGTGATACTTCTATGGTTGAGCCAACCCATTCGTGCTATAATTAAAATAAAGCTGCAGCATGGTTCTGCCACGTAAAAATAATATAGCTGCAGTGTGGCTCTTCTACTACTTACGGGCTAAAGATGACGTAGAAAATTAATAAATCTGTAATAAAGATAGAGGTTGTATTGAAAAGGTGTCACGTGGTGCTGTGTGCTGTCTTGGCTGACGTGGAAAGGTGTTGATTTGTGATTGGTGGAGCGAAAAAGAGAGATAAATGAGACGACCATTTATTTGGTTGTAAAATTTGTGTTTCATAGACGTTGAATACTTTTACAAAGATAAAAAGCCAGAAGTTGTTCATTTCATTTGAAAAGTAAATTACGACATTACAGTTAAGAATTGGGATAGTAAGCCGCATGGAAAAACAATATGAGGCGAAATTTGAAATATGGTAGCACTCATATAAAATCTAAACGTAGGAGATTAGAATCAAGTGATCAGGACGTAAATGAGGAAGGTACAATCTTACAGTGAATCAATAAAATCTTTAATTGATAGAAAGTATAGGAAGCTATGAGAAGTATTAAAAACGATATAAAAGAGCCAACATCTAAAGGATTATATAAAATTGAAAATGTTATTCCTGAATTCGATCCGGAAAATAAAGACGTAAATGTTAAAATCTGGATAGAGAACTAGGTGATTTTTATAACTGGAATGATGATTTAAAATCTTTTAATACAATCAAAATTACAAGGTCAAGTGTGTTGGTTTAATCGTCTTGATTCAAACGATCACACATGGGACGAATGGAAAATAATGTTAACTAAAGCTTTTCCTAGGCATGATGATTATGCATCCTTATTGGACGAACTAATGAATAGTAAAAAGATGGACACTAAAACAACGACAAAGTATTTTCAAGATAAACTAGGTATGTGTTACAGATTTAGATTTCACTAAGCGAAAAAGCATCTGTCATGTATTATTAGACGCTGACCACAAGCATTGCAGACTAATGTTCAAGCTTATCAGTGTTCTAACCCTGATGTCTTTGATGCTTATCAGAGTACTACTATCAATAATACGTCTGTATGGGCTATGAGTTCTAAGCCAACAAATACGTGAACATCAGGTATAATGGGAAGCTACATAAAATACACTGGCACAAGTCGATCACCACCAATCTGTTATAGGTGCAATGAGAGCGGTCATGTTGCATCTAATTGTAAGCTTCCTGAAAAGAGGAAATATTTTAGATGTAGTAAACGTAGCCCACACGTTGCTAATCATTGTACATCTGCGCCGAAAGGCTGCATAGCGACTGCTGAACAAGAAAAAAATATCCAAATTATGTAACAATTAAATGATGCATATAAAAAGAATACACGAGTAAATGGGGTATTTATGAAAGCATAGAAAGCATAGTGAATTAAATGTGATGGTTCAAGATACTGCGAAAGCGATCAAATTATTTTTCAAATAAAACCTACGAATATTATCTTAAAAGGATTCAATGAACAAGCACGCGTAAGTGGAGAAGTCCGATTTATCCTTTCTGTGGACGAAGTTGAAATGGAAACGACTGAAGTTATTGCTAATATGGATTTTGGAAATGTTGCACTTATAATAGGGCAACCTTCAACAACGAAGGAATAGTGCTTAACATAACAAAGAACGGAGTAAAGTTATCTATGACATCATGTCCTGAGAGAATTCTAAGTGTCATAGATATTGCCGAAGAAGCCAGCCGATAGAGTATTTAAGGATACAGAGGTGTCAGTTGGAGATACGTTAGTTAAAGTTTTGGTAGAAGGTGTAAATGAGGGAAATGTTTGTAGTAAATCAAGGCAGCACAGTATGGGTAAAGTAGACTATGCAATTGGTAGTATGTTTCTTCGGAATGGTAGCGGTTATTTGAAGGTCTGCAATGTTGGTGTCGTGTCATTTATGTGAAAAAAGGAGAGATTGTGACACGAGTGGAGAGATGTGTGGAGATGGTTGAGGTGAGTTCAAAAATATTTTCTTTGAGATGCGTATTAGAGGTGACGGAGGAAAGTGACAGTGTGGGCGGTGTTAAATATTCCTAAATAAATGTAGGTTGTTTAGATGATTGCTTCAAAGGTAGATTTTTTTTGCTTACTTCTTGATTACGGTGACTGTTTTGCTAGTTCTGCAGCTGAAATAGGCCTCACTAGTTTGAGAGTGATGCACATATTAATAAATCATGAAATCAGCTGACTAGGGTCAATATTCGCGCGGACGCCGAGCTCTTTTATCTAGCTCATTTTTTTTATCTAGTTTCATTGAGCACGTCATCAGTACGGACGAGCCGACATTTACCAGAAACGACCTGTGGAACCGAAGAAATACACATGTGTATTCAGAGGTTAACCCGCATGCTGTTCGACAAACCAGGCACCAAACCCGATGATCGGTTAACGTATGGGCAGGTTTATTTAAGGATCGCATACTAGGACCGGTGTTTCTGTCACAGCGACTTAACGGGCAGCGATACCTAAACTTCATAAATGAACAGTTGGTTCACATTTTAGATGACCTTTCGTTGGCTGCATATCGTCGCACATGGTTCCAGCATGATGGTGCACCTCCATATGTCGTGAGGATCGTCCGTGAGCGCCTCACCGAGTTATTTGATGATCACTGGATTGACAGACTAGGACCACACGCTTGGCCACCTCGATTAGACTTCTTTCTGTGGAAGTATGTGAAAGAAAGGGTTTTTAATCGTGAATGTGATAGTGCTGACGAAATGCGCCAAAGGATCGTGGATGTTTCCGACAAACTATGTGCGGACTGTGTCGACGACCCCACGATAATGCCCCGCCTGAATGAGGAGATGCAAAGCCGAGCCCAAATCTGCCTCGAAATGAATGGAGCACAATTTGATCCGCATCTCATAAGGCCACAGAGAATTTAGATCGGTAAGCTGTCTCATACCTAATTTTTTTTAAATAACTTAGTACTGAACTGATCTGAATAGGTACATAACTGAATACATCAGAATAATAAACACACCTACGCGACGGATAAAAAAGCATGACTCAATCGTTGTTAAAATTTAATTTTTCATTAGCGGGGAATCGAACCAGGTATTTGGTTTATTTAACCTGTGAATTCGAAAAAGTGGCTAGGTGG